CTTGTTCACTATTGGTTCAAATAAATACCAAGCTTACGTCATGAAAATTATTTTTGAAAATGAAAACCCTTACCAGTTCCATCGTACTGAAGCAAAAAAATCATCATTATCCTTTCTTTTTGGGGTGGAGGGTCTAACCCTACGTCACTTCCCTTCACCCTCACATTTTTTTTCTTTATCCTCAATTCCATTTCCAACTACGAATAGAATCTAACACTAACTTATATGAAGTCTATCTGAATTATTGAATTTTTTTTTCACCTAATTTAATTTAATTTATTTTATGCCGTAGCACCCGTCCTTATCTTATACATTTTGTTGGGTATAATTAATAACCATGTTTATTACCCAAGACAAACTCAAAATCCCAAATACATGTACTTTTTTTTTCCAATAATTATTATATCTCTACACGTTTCTTTAAATGGTCACGAGTTAATTAATCTAACTACTTAACTTTGTTCGCATTCCTAGCTTTTTGCGAAGGTGGAGAATACATAAAATGGGTGATGTGGATAAGGCATTGGAGCTTTTGGCAACAATATAATTTCATTTGTTAATTCATGATTATGGAAATACGAGTACCTATCTTCGGATTCAAGCGAATATTGCATAAGTTAAAATTTCACAAATTCATAGAATTTATGAAATATAAAGAATAAATATATTCACCAGAAAAATATATTTAATATTGTTATTTGATGTACATTATATCGATTTTATTATTAATGTAAAATAAATAAATAATTTTTATATCAATTTTATAATATCTAATATAAAAGAATATATTTAAGATAGCGAGGAACATGTTTCAACTTACAATTATTTAAGAATGCGTAATTATAATAGTGGTGGTCTCGTTATTGTTATACCAAACTATTATTGTTAATAATAATGGAATAGAAAGAAGTAGAGTAGTGATGAAATATTAACATTATGTTAAAGGTGACGCTGTAGATAAAAATCAAATTTTTTTTTAATAATTTATAGTGGTGACAACTTCTGATTATGACTTGTAGTATTAATTGGTGGTCGTATGTCATAAAAACTAGTGTACTTCATGGTGACAATGATATTAGCAAGTCGTAGAAAGAAACAACAATTATATGCGCAACGGATAAATGACTTACAACGAAGAACGATGAATGGATAAATAAGACGACATTGGCGATGACAAATGGTGGTAACAAATGTTGTGTCCCAATAAGGATAATAAGGATTCTATGTCAGTAACACAGTGGAATAATAAATTTTGTTCCTAAATCTTAACTTTTACGGTATAATAGACTGTGTGGAGAAAAAATTATTAAAATTTTAAGAGAGATATTATATCGATTATTATAGTAAATAATGAAATATCTCTCCTACCACATTGATTATTACATATTTAATATAAATTTTCACTATATCTTATAATATTACACACTAATTTTAAAATAACCATTATTGTATATTATTATAAAATGTGCCTTATATAATAATATATTTTTGTGGAGTTTATCCGATTACAATTAATTTTTTTTTGAATAAATTAAAAAAATACATATAAATTATTATTAATCAAAACAAGATTTATAAATATATTTTAATAAGAATGTGATATTTAGAGAATTAAAGGTAAGAGAATAACCTAAAAATTCCTTAATTACTATATATATATATATATATATTTTTTTTTTTTTGAATTCATGTTTATTAGAAAATATTGTTAAGATAAAATATTCGATATATTTTTTTTAGAATTGAATTTTGTTATAATTTTATTCCTATAACAATAATTGATATTTTTTTATTGAGACCATTTTCAAGATCAAAACTATAAAAAATGGAATCCGATCTTCAAATATTATGATTGTTTAATAAATTTAAGATGAGAAAAACAATAATTTTATATTATTTGTACTAAGATGATTAGTATTTTAGCACGAGACCTTAACTCTTTGTATGATAAGAAATAATAGAGAAGAAGTAGTGTGCATTGCGGCTGATACCTAGGTCAACAAGCAAAGGTATTTCTTGTTTGAGTAAGACAGCATATTCTCCATAACGAAGGTGAGGTTATATATCGACCGTTCATATCCCTTCTTTTCGGCAAAGGAGTTAAGATCTGAACTCTCAAATGTGATTACACATCAAAAAGAAGAAGATGCTCTCTACCTAGTTAGCTAGTGCTAATGGGAAGAGTATCTCTCAAACTTCTCCAGAATCCTTCAAAAACAATGCAATGGGACATGCAAGTGGGTTCACTCTATATATAGTGCACACTTTCCTAGAGTGCATTACAGTGCACCATCACAATATTGCCTCTATATCTATCTTATTCCAATTTCATTTCTCTCAAATTCTATTTAGTTTTAATTTATAACATAAAGAAATGTAGAATTTATTTTATAATTATTATTCCGTATGAAGAATATTTTAACTTCATTTTCGTTATAATAATATCACTGTATTTATTATTATATTTAAAATATTATTTATTTTAAAATTTTAATTTAAAATAAATTTGGTTAATTGGGTCGGAAATTGGGAACTCATAATAAACCGAAGATGGAGGGGACATTCACAATTATATAGACCACACTAGAGAGAAGAGTGTTTTGACCATATTTGTGCCATGATTTGTCTTACTAAGAAATAGATTTAGAAATTATGTTATGTTGGAAAGAAATGAGGAAATTCATTTGACATTGTGTCAATATTTAGTAATAGTGATTTAACTATTAATATTGTGCTTTATTAATTCAGTTGGTCCACCAAAAATTAAAACTTTAGGGTAGAAAGTTATGTAATGGTATCCATTAGTTAAAAAAAGAAAGAAAAAAAAAAAACTTGGACTTCGTATGTAGAAATAAAATCACTTTGCATCCATTATGTCGAATCCTTGACACAAGATTACTATCCAAACATAACCACGAAAAAACACAAAAAGTAAGAAGCAATATCTAAACTGAGGTAAAAAAGAAGAAGAGAATAAGTTGTTTATAATTAGGATCAATAAAAGGGTCAAAACCCATACAAGATAAGAGTAGAAAAACACATAAAATTTTTTATGCTTGAGCATGCCACACCTGTGGGGTCAAACGCCATACTCTTGGTGTGCACCTCCTAGCAAGCAATTTCTCTTCGCTATAGTGTGCACCACACTTGGTGGTGTAGCATTCTCTAGTTGTTGTAGTTTTTTTTTTTTTTTTTCTTTATTTTCTAGTTTTGCCTATTGCTGTGATGCTTCCCACACCTTGGGTGTGAACCTTTTTGTTATGATTAAGCTTTATCTTGCTCCCAATCTCCTTTTCTCTTAGTCTAACCTCTCCATGTCTTCATGCTTCAATCTCCAAAGCAAAACCACTCCCACAAATTTACTTTCCTCAAACTAAAAACACACAACAAGTGATAATTCCAAATAAAAAAGAAAAACTAATTAATAACAAAATTATGCTTGTAGTTGATGTATAAGATTCTTTCATGGGTTACTTTCACTCCTACTACTAGTATCTTGATTAAAGTGTTGTAAAAAAAAGTGGAAGATGTTGAATATATGAAATACTTTTGGTGAAAACACAGAAGAGTGGGATTTTATCCTTTTCCAATCACCTATAGTCTCTTCAGTCATACTCCCATTTAACTCCCAACTGTTTTAATAATTTATTCATAACACTTTTCACGTAATCATTAGCACTAATTACAAATAAAAATTCTTTTTTGGAAAAAGGAGCTCAAAAGAAAGATAAAACGAAAATGTATAAGGAAGGTGGCGTGGAGGACCAGAAGCAAGCCAATGACAGGACAGTGGTATAAGAATTCAAAATATTTTTAAATCAATTTATAATTAACGAAGAAATATTAATGGTTGGTATATATCCTCTTAATGGTTTTTTATTTCTTAGTTACTTCTCGTGTCCCACTATTTTAAGTTTTGGTCATGACAACTTTAAATACATATCACGTTAACCAAGAAACAACGTATCTGCATAAAACAGCAGAATAATCAAGCTATATATATATATATATATATATATATATATATATATATATATATATATATATATATATATATATATTTGATTAATTAATCCATCATTTAAGACAAAGCTAACGTGGTAAATGAGAATTAAAGAAAATTAAGTGGACGGAGCAAAGATTAAAATAATTGGAAGAAAAACATCATATTATCACATCATGCTCCGCATTTGAACCTTTTTGGTGTGGCTGGCTACCCAATTATTAAAAGGAAAAGAAAAAAAAAGAGAGAGAGAAACACGTTTATTATTATTATTATTATTATTAATATCCGCATAAAAGAGTAGTGCAAATTCATTTGGCTGTCGCTAACTATAGTTCACAAGGTGGACCCGGAATCATAATGCAAATAATGCCAAAGATGGTGATATAGGGGTTACCGCAGTAACATGGTTAAGGCAAAGTTCTATCTGATTCGGAGAAATAGAGGAGTCACACACACACACACACCCTGGGTCAAGGAAGAAGAAGAGGAGGAAGGAGGGTTTGTAATATCCAAGTATATGAACCAAGATTCCAAAGTATGAATGAGTTGTAAGGCTTTAGGCCATTTGGTGGGTGACACATCAGAAAGAGGCATGGTGGGCCATGGGAATTTCGTGTATGTACCAGTAATAGTACTATGTTGCATGATTTACCCCGTGTGAGGGTGCATGTGTGGGATGGTTTTAGACAAATGAGGTTGGAGAGGGTAATAGGGTAAGAAAGGTGTTTGGATAGTGCTAAAGCAAATATGGCGTTTGGGAGGAGCAACTGGAAAGTATGTTAAAGTTAAATTGATGTTTCGCATTCCCGTTTGCAAGTTGACCAGCTCTCCCTGCTTTCCCTCCCCCTATAAATACCCTTCACTATATGCTTACAGACTCGTGGGATTTAGAGAGAGAAAGAGAAAACTTCAACTAAGGGTTTCACTTTGAGAGTGACACAAATCTAGAGAGACTACTACTATTTCAAAACTTCTGTTAGATTCAATTCAATACATGGCCATGCATCGCGAGTCTTGGGCTTTTGTGTTCGGTCTTTTGGGTATATACTAGATACCCCCCATAGTCACAGTTTATTGTTTTTTCTTCTCTTTCTATATTCACGTTACCTTATTCATCATCATCATCTTCATCTTATTTAACCTCTTTTTTCCATTTGGTAATTTGGTACATATAATGGTCGAGTAAAGCTTCCAATACCATGACCATTCTAAAGTTGGCATCCACTTTTTATAATCGTGATATCACTTTTATTGTCTATTACTATAGCAATATAGGTAGAACTTTACCCAGCATTAACTGATATTGCATGCATGTTTCTAATTTCAACTTAATGCAGTTAGGAACCGTAGCAATATATTCAATTAAATTGTTTTTGATAGACAGAATTATACCACATCGAGTTGTGTCAGAAAATCATGTTATAACACTTGAAGTTTTTTATCAACTCAAATCATGCATCACTAGAAGAATATCATATATATTTGTAGGATGAGGTAAACAAAAGTTGTTGTTGTTAGATACCATCTTTCCACGAGTGCTGATGGGTGTTTCTTTTTCTGTTTGTTTTTATAGGCAACATCATCTCCTTCGGAGTGTTCCTTGCTCCATTGTAAGTGGATTTTTTTTAAGCATATCTACTCTTCGTGATTGATCTTTAATCAAGTCAATTGAAGTAATTTCATCAACCACATAAAATTCTGCGTGCAGGCCAACCTTTTACCAAATCTACAGGAAGAAATCCACTGCAGGGTTTCAGTCACTACCTTATGTTGTTGCACTGTTCAGTGCAATGCTTTGGATTTACTATGCATTCGTGAAAAGGGAAGCTGCTCTCCTTCTCATTACCATTAACACGTTTGGAATTGTTGTGGAATCAATTTACCTTGCAATCTTCCTTTGTTATGCCCCAAGGAAGCCTAGGGTATTTATCTTATATGACCTTCCTTTGTAGTTTTCTTAATTTATTTTGTGTATAACTTTTAATCTAAAGTTAACTCTTTTGATTTATTTTTCTGGGGCGATCACAGCTTACAACCATCAAGCTTCTTCTCTTGCTGAATGTGTTTGGCTTCGGAGCCATGCTTCTATCAACTCTCTACCTGTCAAAGGGAGCGAAGCGTCTCGCTATCATAGGATGGATTTGCCTTGTTTTCAACATCAGTGTCTTTGCTGCACCTCTCTTCATTATTGTAAGACTTTTACAAAACCTAATCAATCTTTTCAAGTTTTTTATAACACACGAGCCAATGATTAATTGAATCGTTATGATCAACACATGCAGAGGCGAGTCATTAAGACAAGGAGCGTGGAATACATGCCATTTACTTTGTCCATGTTTTTAACCATCAATGCTGTTATGTGGTTCTTCTATGGCCTTCTCCTCAGGGATTATTACGTTGCTGTAAGTTCAATGCTATGATACTCCTACGTACGGCTACGAGCATGTTCATATATTTTTACCTTTAAACTGTTCTTGCATTATGATTATACGAAGGTGCCGACGTGTCATGCTAACTTTCTCCATTATTTCCCTTTTTGGGTAAACCCCTTTAGTTTTTCATTTTGCTTTATGTGTGATAATGTCGAATCAATAATAGTACAAAATTAAATGTTTGCGTGCTCCATTAATATGGAGTTCCCTGAATAATCCAAGTGCAATATGGACACCATCATTATTTAATCAGAACAACTTTTATGTATACATAGGACAATATAATTTGATTCTTTCTCGTCTTTTTGGATAAAGAGGATAGATACATGTAAAGTTTGATGGATGATTTAATTGATTAATGTTTGCATTTTGTTGATGATGCAGCTCCCAAACACACTCGGGTTTCTCTTCGGCATAATTCAGATGGTGATGTATTTGATCTACAGAAACGCCACCCCAGTGGCACTGGAGGAGCCAGTGAAGGCTCAAGAATTGAATGGCCACATCATTGACGTTGTGAAGATGGGAGACCCGAACCATGCAGCTACTGGTCATGGTGGTGTTGGCAAAGTCTGATTTCACCGTTGAGGTTACATGATACAAGGGATATCATTGACAACAGCAAGGAAAAAAAAAAAAGTTAAAAAGAAAAAATAACCTAAACTTTCAATTACTTTACTGAGTGAGGTCACATCTAATATCACTCATATATATCTACAATGCAAGAATGGTACGTAGTCTTTGGTATAAGTGTTTGGTTTGATTTATGTAAAGGTGTGGTTTAAATTTGCCTGTTCTGGTAGCTGTAACTGTTGGGCACTCATGTAAGCAAAAACAATTAGCCTCTCTTTTGGCTCTTATCACTCTCATATTGTACCACTACGTATAGCGTAGTATATTCTCTTCTCTCAGTGTATCTCTCAGTCAAACTCATTTCAATTCTCTTTTGTATACGTAATTAATGTTCCAGTAATGAAAATTAATCATTTTAGTAATTCCTCTTCTCTAGCTTCACTGTTTAATGTTTATTCATGTTAATTTGCAATTTAATCTATATGTTCATGGATCATTATCCCAAGTGTGTCATTGCATTTATCACAAGTGATTAAAGCGATGGAGAAGTGGATTCACTTTTCTTTTCATGTGTCATGTTAGGAGGCAGATAAGCCCTCCAAAAAGTTTATTAAAAAAAGAAAACATTGTATATCTTGATGACAGCATTGTTCCTAGTTAAGGACAAAAATGCCAGACATTATGCATGATTATAGGATACTAATCTAATAAGGCTCCATCCAATTCCATCTTAAAAGGAAAGTGTTAAATAAAGCAATTCCAATAATTAGAAATAGCAAAACCTATGGATTAGAATGCCAAAGCTGAATTAGTTAAAATTTACTTAGGAGAGTTTTTTTTTTCGAAGTACAAACCTATGATATATAGGACAAAGTCAAAACAGAAATAAAATGAATAAAGTAGATCATTTTTGTAGAAGGAAACCCACCCATGTCTATTTTTCTATCACTTTTAGTCACTTTGATGGTAATATGTAGAAAATATATCAAATTTCTAGGTAATTATTTTTTATTGAAAAATTTTATTAGTTTTGCTGTTTTATTGAAAAATATATCATTTTTTAAGCATTCTTTTATTTATTTATAAAAGCTTAACTTGAAAACACTTATTAAGAGTTTAGATTCTAGATTTGCTCTCAAAATGTTGGTTTTTTTTTATCTCATATTTTTTATGATTCATCTACAAAATGTTGGTTTATTTAGATTCTAATCGTTATTGTATAACATTCATTTCATTTCTGATATCTTGTTCACAAATTCTCCCATTTTAGCAATTTTTTTCAAAAGAGTAAAAATATTTTTCCTTCTTAATTGGTGTTTCATGCTAAGGTTAACTAACTATTTTTTTTTTAAATATAAGACTGATAAAACGAGTCAAAGTTAATATATGGTGAGACAGGTTAATTAATTAATTTTTTAAAATATAAGAATGATAAAATGAATCAAAGTTAATATATGGTGGGACAGAGTAATATTTTTATTCCATCGTAATTTTTTGATAGTGATTTGAGTTGAAGGATTGATCAACTGTACGGATCTAAGGTTTAATTTTAAGTGCATGTGTATGGCATGGGGCATATCATTGTTGCACTTTTTTTAAGAGAAGAAAACAAAAAATGTTTAATTTTCAAAGAGAATCTGATATTTTGTATCAAATGATAGAAAACAAGGTGATGTACATTGCCCCACACCTCATGTTTCGTGGTAACCTTCCTTCCAAGGTAGACACACTAGCCGTCTCAAAATTAGAGGCCATACCTTTTTTTCCATAGGCAAAGAAAATCACATTAATGACAAGACAACCTTAACATAAGACATGTTAGGAATCACAAAGCATTGTTTGCATTAAAATAAGTTTTCAATATTTAATAAAATTTATTGTGGTAATATTATATAAGTTGACCCAAAATTATAGAATCGTCCAATAATTTTTCAATAACAAGAAAACTTCTTAAATGTAATAAAACATGTAAAAACAATATTGAAAATTCACTACCTAAAAAGCAAAATAAGTACACACAAAAAAACTATAATAAAAATAGATGCATTGAGAACCCAACAAAATTAACACGCAATAAATAAATCAATGCATCCGAGGTATACTAAAGCACCTAATTCTGTGAGAAGCCTCAAACCAAATTTTAGGATCAGATCTACAAAACAACACAATTTGATATTCAGTGACGAGTCAAAACAAAACACAAAATAAGCCATGTTATACGATGTATCTGCCCTGCATCAAAATATGCTACCTACCCCCTCAAATCAATCACCATTTTGCACCAAATTTCTCCTAACGTCGACCGTTACCTGCAAAGTCACCCTTAAACCCTTATTTGCCTTTTACCCACTTTTGCTTCGTCTTCAACATTTACTTTATTACACATGGTAGCAAAGTTGTGATTTGTATTTTCTTTTTTCCAACTTTGTGTCTGTTTCTCCATAGGAAAAGCTTAAACCTTTTGCGTATGTGTCGCTAATTTGTGTATGCTTTTAATCAAGTGGCGCGTTCTGATCTAGGGGCGAAAACTACGAAGGGTTTGTTTCGAATGATTAAATTGAATTTTGGAAATTTGAGGAGTGGGGGATAAACACAACTCAATTAAAGGGAAACGGTAGGCAGAGAAAAATGCACTAACTAAACGTGAAACGAAAAGAATGGGCCAAAGAGAGAGATAACGCACGAAAGGATGTTGATGAGTATGCGTCTGAAGATAAGCATTTGAAGGCTTTACGCAAATTAGTGAGGGAAGGTGTTGCTCTAAAAGTTGCCCATGATTGTGTTGAAAGATATAATTGCCATGCACAATACTTGGTTGGCTTGTTCCCGAATGCTTAGATCGATAAGGGTGTGATGCAATACACCACTTGTTGGGTATCTTTAAAGACCTCAAACCCCATTACAGTATTTGTCAACCATCAAACCCTGTCTTCTTCTTCTCCTTTATCATGTTTTAATTTATACTAAGAACAATGATATCATCCACCCTTGTATTCTTATCGCGAGTGAAAATTTACCAGGTTAAGAGTAGTCACATAGGAATATGTACTACAGATTAGTTTCTGACTCTGATATGCCACTATCAAATTTCTTATTATTATTGCATGTCAATTTTCATTCTATCTGGTGGCTATAACCTTATGTATTACCCAATGATTGCTTCATAATCTTCTCCAAGATGTATATATACACATATATGTGATATATATTATATATGATTTGGTTTTGGCTGTTTTGATCTATTAGTGACTAGACCAGTACCATGTGTCATGTATCAACTTTGTGGTGGACCTTGCTTAGCTCATACTTTAATTCAATCATATCTTATTCTTCCCACCTTTAATTTCTTCTCTTGAATTTCTATTTTCCCTGTTTAAACGTTTCAATCAGTTCAGTTGCGGAGGCCGGAATCATCTGAATACGTGTTCCATTCAACCCTATCCTTGTTTGCCACATGACCCATTTCAGATTTTATGTTCCTACTTTGCTGGTTCATCCTCTCTCCAATGAATCTATACACTGACAAAGAAGATATATGTGCTGATTGTGTCACATGGTTGATTGTCTGTGTCTCATGTAGTTTATTCAGACACTGTTTCTGTTATATCCCCAACATCACACATGTTCTATCGTATCAAGTAAACTAGTTCAATCGTGCATGCAGCAGTAAAAATTACTAACCTTGATCCTCAATGACTCATGCATCATTAAACTTTTTTCAAAGTTATGTTCTTTCCTTAAATTGGTAAACGTTTAATTGAAAACTTTAACAAAATTCATTGTTCCAACACCCTTCCCCAGATAAATAAATAAATAAATAAAAACCATGGCAGGTTACGTAACTGTCTATTAATATGTGCTCGTAAGACAATTTGATCACTGATCATTTTTTTATTTTTTATTTTTTTTGAAATGCAATAAATGGTTCCCAAGGTTCTTCAAATTCGAATAAAAAATATTTTTTTACGAACTTAATTACAAAAGTAATTAATAATGTTAAAAGAATTATTGAAAATTACTTTTGCCTCGTCATCATCGTACAAATCTTTAAAAAACAGATAAACGCGGTTTGTAAAGTTTGTTTAATTATGTTAATTAATAATTAATTAAGTGATTGTAATGGTTATCATTGAAGCCGCACAACTTTAAACACTTGCTGTTCTTCTCACTCAAGAGAAATGCTTTATTACAAGCCATTCAATCATTTTCAATTTTTACAGTTACTGATTGTGAAAACCCAAACACAAATATAAAGTATCTCTACACGTTGCAGAATTTAAGCCAAACTTTTGATGTAAATAAAGGAGAGATTCTTCATTAGTGGATTCAGTTCGACTGAAATTCATGGACTCTAATGAAAAAAAAAAGAAGAAAAAAAAAGAGAAAAAAAGAAGAAGAATAAAAAGAGAAAAAAGATGCACTCTTTTGGTCTCTAAACTTCCTCTATGCAGTGGACCTCACATAAATTCTTTCTGCTTCATTATTCAAAATAGATGTAAATTATTCGGTCCACATATTTTATGTAAATATTGTTGGGTACACTCCTTTTATGTAGATTACATCCACACAAAAAGTTTCTCTAAAAAGAACGGGTCACTTTCCTTCATCAGAGAAAAAAAAAAAAAAAAAGCCCAACAGCAACAATAATTCTTTTTTATATATAAAAAGTTTCCTCTATGAATATATATATATATTGTGTTAACTTACACACTTATTTTCAGAAGTTAGTTAATCACATAATTATTTCTTAATTTTTAACTATTTAAACAAAATAATCAATAGTTTTTATTTTTTATTTCTCACGTTAACCAATTATTCATAGGTTGATGGAAAATAACTACGTAAAACAAACTATATTCTATTGTATTAATATAATTGAAAATAGATATTATGTTTCATTTTAATGATTTAATCCAACCTTCATTATATGATGCAGAGTTTTTTTACCTTCGAACTATCTCTATATCAAGATCTTTAGTTTAGTATAAAATTGTGGCTAAGACTCTTGCATATATGTATTATTAGGCATTGAGGATTTAAGTAATTTTACAATTAGGGATTTGCTTAAGTATCTTGTCATTAATAAAAGCTTATTTCATAAATGAATTTTTTGAAATGGTTATTAATTAATTAAAAGTCAATAATTTTATTGTATATAGTAACATGTAATTAGATGGTGATATAAAGAAGGTTATATAATCCTGCATTCGGATTTTTTTTTTATATTTTATTTCTATCATCTTACTGGAATGAGAAAAATTAACGAATAAAATGTCGATATTGTAGCATTAAAATATTTAATGATTTTGAATTTTTATTCATATTTTAAATATTTATTTTAAAACCGAAAATCAGTAATCAATCAATTTTTTTACTATAGATATAGGTCGAAAAAGGATATGATTTTAGGTTAATTACATTTTTTATTATCAAACATTATAATTGTGTGATTTTAGCCTTTTCAGTGTTTCATTGGTGAAATTTTAATCTCTTTATTAGTTTTATATTAAATATTTAACCAAATTTATTGACGTGTTATACAATTCACATAATATTATTATTATTATTATTATTATTATTATTTTGACTTATCCGTAAATGGCATCTATTTACACTTTTTATTAATCTAATAATATATTTGTAAGGAACTAAACGCCTCTAGTTATATCATTTTTTTTTGCGTCATATCAATAAAATATGATATATATCAAACTTAATATTAATAATGGTCCAACAATACTTAAATAACTTTATTTATTCAGTTAGAACTTAATTTCAATATCTATTAATTAATGACACGTTAACCCTATTAATAATTAGCAAACTATTAAAAAAAGAAGAGAAACAATATATATTATATGCACGGTGGGTTATTTTTTTAGAAAAAAATTATTTAACTATATTTACTTATATTATTAATTAACCTTATTTATTTTATGAAATTTTAATCGTTTATATCTTTCCATTTTTCTTTAAATTGAACAGATACATGAAACAGAGAAAAGATCAAATAAAAATTTAATACTTTCCCTTTTCTTAATAATATTTTAAATTGAATTTTATTTATAATGTATACATGATAAAAATAATCAAAGGTTTGATTTTTGTTAGTATGTACTAAGATTACAAAACTTTAACTAGAGATTGATATATGATATAATGTTTAAAAATTATCTTCTATAAATATTGTTTAAAAATTATTTACAAAATATATTTTTATCAATTGAAAGTCTTAACTATTCATATTAACAATATATTATAATTAATTTTTTGTAGATTTTCATGAAACAAATCATCTAAATATTTCACGTAACATAATACAATTGTTATATCGATCAAAAACTCAATTGATTTGAAATTGCACAAAATCTCATACTTTTTACATTGATATTTTATAAAGTATATTTTAAAAAATATTAGACAATATTCTCTCATTAAAGAGACCTTAACTATTAAAAAAAAACCTTTAATCTTGCAAAACTTCAGAAAGATAGTGTACTGTACTATAATTATATGATTTATACATGGAAGGAAGGAGTATGTGTAAGTGATATTATCACATGTATCAACAGAAATTGAAACAATAAGAAAGATTAAAAAAAAAAAATTCGAAAAACAAGATCTCAAAAAATTTTAATCGTATAAAATTATTATAGAAATAGTATTTTTCTTCTAAAGTTTGAAAGATGGTCCATAGAGTTAGTAAAGACATGTATTCAAGAGTAACAAGCCTTATCAAACTTGGCTTCCTCGTTCCACCCATCAATTGTAGGCAAATGCAAAGCATTTCACGTTAAATCAGTGATGAACGTGGTTTTGACCAGGAAAAGTGTAGGCATATATATATGCAATACGAAACACGTATGTATGAAGATGTAGTCATCTTCAAATAGAAAACATATATCCGACCTCTCTTCTGCACCTTTCCCCGTTCAAAAAGCAACGCCAAAACCGAATCAAGAAGGGTGAAAACTACATATTCATCTTCATTCTTGTCGTGTATGATGTATCCCTCCGATATTTGAACAAATGGAGTTGCTTCAGCTGGCATTAATTATCAAAAGCATTTCCCTTTAAAAAGCTTATCTTTCATTGCTGTTTCTCAGAGTTTTCCTTGTGTTGTGCAAGTATATCATTCTGACATGTCATGCCTAGTCTCAACAAATATCATACCCCCACAACCAAAATCTTATTTGGTTCACAACCTTTTTCAAATAAATCTCTTCATGTTCAAACACTGATTGAGTCAAACTATTTTGTCTTATATATTACCAAATATTTAGTGGTCTTTGAAGTAAGGTTTAATCTAGAGAGCTGTTGCATATTTGTTTGAAGACTGTAAATACAAGGTGTCAACTCTAGCTTAGTTTTTATTTGTCTAATTAGATTATAGATACTCCTAAGTCCATCTGGGTCAAGATGCATTTTTTAACTGATATAAAGGAAAAAAATATACTTTATCCCATTATAAAAATCTGGGTGTACAATGATTTGGGTAAGTGATGATTGCTGAATACTTGGCCATAGATTTTTTTTCTTTTTTTTGCTCTCAATATCAGTCACTAAAAAATCAATAGAAATGAAATGTCATTGATTTCAAAACCATAATGACAGAATCCTCGTAATCATATATGGCAAAGTTAGTAGATGATTGCAATTGAATATTGACCAACCAAGTTCTCACTTTTCACAATAAGCTTTCCCATATTTGAAAAAAGTATTAATATAAAACTCATCTACTTTAGCAAACTGTCTTGTAATGGTCAATCTAGTTCCCTTGAAGCAAGGTAGCATCAAGAAAGTCGCTGTATCCATGCAGACCGAGCTTTCTGTAACATCAACACCAAAAATGAAGACTCATACATGGTATTTCAATCATGTATATCAGCCTTCTCTTTAATTACTTTCTCTCATGATCTTGTGGTACAAAGTATGATAAGTTAGCCTACATCATACTCTAATCTACTCTATCTGTCTATGACAATCAACTTTATACGATGCTGTTGCTACTACAGACAACGGATCAAAAGCCTAGAGAACATAACTAAAGGGGGACTCTATGCTTCTCTCAAAATTAACATCATAGATTAGAAGCAATTTTGAACAATTTGTACTTTGTACATATAATCAATGCTACATATTCTCTTTTGGATTTATCTTCATCATTGAGCACTTTTGCATCAAAATATATTGTCAGACATCTGATTTGACATTGGAGTAGATGTATCTGCAATTGACCTTCTATTAGTTCCATCAAGTGCAATTGAATCTCCCAATTGCACCAGAATCAAGTGCATATGTGGTTCTTATGCCATTTCTGTTGTTTACATCTTTTTCATGGGTTTTATAAATAGGACTATGACAATATATGATATCTGTGCCTGCATACACAGTGACAGTTTTGATTTTTCAACTTTAAATATTTTGGTTGCTGCTACTATCTCAAACAAACATATACATCAGTCTACACTCAAATGTAAGAAAAATAATATTAATTCATAGTTGTTAAGAAAATTGGTAATACTATTTATTTCATTAATTTCGTCTTGATTTTGTTTTTCAAACTATCTTTTCATGAGAAGTTGATATAACAAAAATAACTATTGGAAATAAAATATTAATTAAATGAAATATATTTTTAAAATATAACATTAAACATGTTGAAATTAATTAAAGTTTATTATTTGTGCTTATTATAACCAATATTACAAGAGCCTATATAATCGATATTACAATAACCTATGTAATTGATATATAAAAATTAAATAATCGAAAATTTATTATATATGTACTATTTCTATCCTAGATTGAAGGTAACCAATAAAACTTTTATTAAGGAGAGTTTATTTTTGAAAATCATGCTTAAATTAACATAATGACACCGAAAACATCTTGGATATTACATAAGAAAAGAATCATTATATTCTATTTTTATCAAGTCAATCATATATATTTACAAACTTTTCACATTTTTTTCACATTTTTTTTTCATTTAATCAAAACAATCTCACCTTTTATTCTATTTTTTTATTTTTGTTTTTTTACTTTCTCACTTTTTATCATCCATCCGACACACATTCAACTTGTAATGCAAGGGAATAATTGCAACAAGTGCTAACAAGTTCCTGTATTGATAGTGAGCCCAATTCAGGTGAGCAAAAAGTTATTCTTGGGCCAGAATAAACCCAAATCCACATTAGAATTCACAGAAAGAAACGACGTCGTGTATCCATATTTACACGGAGTTTAAAACCATGTCGATTTGAACGGGTTCATTCAGATGTTGAACTATCAATAAGTTGTTTTATTAATTTAATTATATATTTTTAACATTCAATTATTAGTGTGTTTTAAATTTATTCTCAACAACTTTTTATATATTTTATTATATTTTTAATTTTTCAAATGTATTAGATATATAAAAAATATAATGTATCCTTGAAAATTAAAATTATTATGTTCAAAGGGTAGAGGAAGGGTGGCATAGAGTGTGGTTACAACTGAAGAAAATTATCTCCCCTTCAAATTTTATATATACAATTTTATAATTTCTTATTAAAAGAATTATTGGAACAAATATATTAGATATATAAAAAATATAACATGTCGTTAAAAGTAAAAATTATGTTATTCTGGACGAAGAGAAGGGGGGTGTTATATTTTAATTGTTGAGTTGTTGAGTAAGTTCATTGTTCACAAGAGAAGCATTGGAGAAGAAAAGGTAACTGCACCAACTAAAGTCAAAAGTCGAAATGGTTTTGACTCTGATGAAACTGTGAAGGTAGCGTTCAATTTATCTTTCATTGCTATAGATCATCCAATTACAGATCTCTCTAGATTCGATATAGTGTGATAACGGAATCAAATAGAATCAATCTTCATCGGAATTTTACGAATCCAGGAAGGAAGGGTTAGGGTTTGGGTAAGGATAAGGGTTGAGAAGGCATAGAACAAGTCAATTCAAATGCCGGAAGAGGATTTGGTTGACATCAAGTTTAGGTTGTACGATGGCTCCGATATCGGACCCTTCAGGTACTCATCCGCCGCCACCGTCGATGTGCTTAAGCAGAGGATTGTCTCCGATTGGCCCAAAGGTGTCTCTCTTGGCTCGAAATCAATTTCAATTATTGTTCATCACAGTTGTCACTTTTCTTTACTGACTGCTCTGTTTTTTATTCTTAATGTGTCAACTTGTCTTTGAGGACTTTAAATTTTAATCGGATAGTTTAGTTTAGGGAATTCAGTTTATGCATGTATCTTTGGGATGTTCAAACTTCCCGGTTTCCTTTTGAGTTATGCGAGTGATTGTCAAAGTTTGTAGAGTCTTTCAATTGGTCACTTGTTGCTGTGGATAGTTTGATATTGATAACTCTGGGAGACATGTTATCCAATTCTTTTATGCTAAAAACTAGTGACTTCAGAATCTGCTGCTACCATTGAAACTATGATATAGTGATGATATTTAGAAGGCTGAGGGTTGTGTTGTGTCAAGTAAAATCTATATTTCATCTCCCAAGCAAAGTGAAGCCCCCCATATTTAGGTTTAACTTGCGTATTTATAGAAGAGCGTGGATCGCACTGTACCATTCATAGGTTCATAACTGACAGTTATTGCTATTATCAAAGTTGAAGAGATGCTTACTTTTTCTGTTGTCATTTCCTTTTAATTGGAATGTGACTTTATGGGTGTGAAGACTGAAGAATGAGGAAATAAAATTTACACCAGAATCTTCATGCATACCGACATGCAGCACTTGGTTTTGCCTAAATATTTCCTGAATGAAATAAGCATTACTGGACTGGTATGTTTATTCTATTATACTCATCGTGATGAAGCATACACATTTATCTACCTACCTCAGTCACATTAATTGCAGTTAAGGATTTGGCTATCAGTTCATATGTCAAGACTTTTTTTGTCAAGAAATCGCTTGTATTGCTGAAATCAATTATAACTCTAGAAGTTATATATTTAAGTTATGTTGAAATATGGAATAAGCTTATCCTGCAGATAGAACAATGAAATTGAGAGTATCAAAGCCAAAGGCAAGACAATAGCTCTCCATGACGTCATAAGGAGCCAACAACCCAAATAGCGTAGTCACAAATGTTTGTTGGAAAGCTGTATGGAAGCCATAAGTAGTAGGAAAAACTAAATGGTGGTAGTTGTAGTTGGTGTTCAACCAAACTGAAGTTTGTAGTCACTGGATAGTTCTTATGGGGGCGGAGGACCAAAGAAAAGGAGTTCCAGATACTTTGGAACTCAGACTCAGCAATCGAGATTGTCATGGAATTGCTCATAAAGGATGATACCGATGCAATACCATGTTGAAATTATTTGGAAAAGATGTAAAAGAGAGAAATAATATATTTCTTATATAATAAATCTTGTGTGGTAAAAGTTGTACAACTAGTAAAAGTTCCACCCAACTAGTCTCCTAACATGTTATGTCTCCTATAACAATAAGAACTCAAATATTCCAACAACTTGCTTATATGTCTTTGACCCCTTCTGGCTTCAAAGAAAAAATGCACTATGTGCTTTTCCCCTTATCGTTGAATTATAAAATGATTGGGTGATGCCTAGATAATCAAAAGGAATGACAGCCAACATGAATTTAGTCTGCTAGAGCAATATGAACTCAAATGTTCCAACAAATTACACATATGACTTTGACTCCTAGCTTCTGAGAGCAATTGCAATGCAATATATGCTTTTCCCCTTAACTCTGTCAACCTTATTGTGAAATTACCAAATGATTGGCCGATGCTTACATGATCCGAAGGATGATGGCCAGCTCGAATATAATCTTAAGATTGTTCTAGAATCTTATTGTCCAGTTGGCTTGATATAATTGAATATGATTGACAAAATTACCATTATTTTGTATAATACTGATTATAGAAGTATTACATTAGAAACTTGTGGTCAAACTCTTTGCAAGGAAAATTTGGGCTCTTTTTGTTTGATTCAAATTGAAGTTGGTGGCATTTCTTACCTAAACAGAGGTGATCGAACATATCACTCTAATTAGTTATGGGTTTTCATATATGATAGCCTTGTGGTGGATTTTATTTTGTCATTTCTAAAAATTCAGTCAACTTGTTTTGGTGATTATTCATGTTGCTTTGTGTCCTTTTCTACAACTTATTGGGGATAGGGTATGGCACAGGTTCTCTCTTGTGCTTTTATTTTATCTGTTGCACTTCCCCCTTTGTGTAGGTAAAACAATCGTGCCAAAGTCAGCTAATGAAGTGAAATTGATTAATTCCGGTAAAATCTTGGAAAACCACAAGACTGTTGGTCAATGTAAAGTACTATTTGGTGAGATTGCAGGAAGTATTATAATGCATGTTGTTGTACAGCCATCTCTAGCAAAAACTAAAGCTGGTAAGTTCCATGAACTTCTTGTTTCGGGGAATATTTATGTAATTTTTAGTTATATTTTCTTAAGTTGTTGCTATTTCTTACTTAGTTGAAAATTAAGTATAGCTCATGACTGGACCAATTTCCACGAGTTTGCAGTTGGACCTGCATCATGAATGACATGGCTAGCTATTACCCTTTTGGAACATCTCAATCTCTTGAATCTGAAATAAAGGATTTAGGACTGATGGACACTTGTAGATTAATTGGGTTAGCTAGCTTTTCCAATTAGAGATTATTTTCTGAAATCCATGATGATCATCGTGAAAACACTTATTTTATTGGATCAACATTAACTAAACATGGTCAAATAGGTGGAAATTGTATTGTTAATCATATACAATATATTTAGTAATAAGCTTAAAATAGTACCATTGTAAATCAAATTAGAGAAAATTTAAAATTGGCACAAAATTATTCTGTTATATGTCCTAAATGATAATAAACAGTAATAACTGGCTTAATAATTTCTATCTATTGGTGACCCTTATATGCATTGTGATTTGACTTTAGGCATTTGTTTGATTAAAAAACTGATTGCATGACAAAATGTATAATTTACAGAAAAGGAAAGTGGTTTATCTTTAGCGGTTTTTTCAATAATTTGTACTTAAAATTATAAACATTGTAACTATTATTGAAAGTGAAAACCAAAAGCTATATAGGGCTTGTAGTTGATCAGCTTTTCATTTTTTTCTCAAACATAACTAACAGTTTTTGTGTTGAACACCAGTAGTCTTAGGTCCCATTAACACTATAAATTATTGTGCTCACTTAGTAGATTTATTGACTAGACCCATAAGTAATTGGACATATATTAATTTCAAATGTTAAATTAATGTGTGGAACAAGTTTTGACAATAATTTAACATAAACTTATGGTGTTATTATTATCTTTAGTCTACACAAGTTGCCTAGACTCAACTTGTATAGTTGGTACTAGCAGTGAAATATTGTATTTTTGCCTGTTAATTGACGATTTGATTCTCCCCTGTTTGGTTCATGTAGTAAAGGAAATTGGTATGCTTCATTTTTTTAGGTTAAGAAATTAAAATGCTAGTGATGTATGACCAGAAACATATGAAAGAAGAAGATCTGATGGCCTTTAGCGATATATTTCTATTTTATGTGTGGCATAGGTCTCACTATTGCTTCATATTCTGAATAATGGTTGCAGTTTGTAGGTTTGGTTGTCAAGCCAAATATCCATGTAGCTTACAATTACTGCATTGCTTAGAATGGGGAAGGATACTGTTAAGCACGGACACATGCTTGAGATGTTAAGAGTGTAGGATACGTTTTTTTCAACTCACACCCCCTAAGATCTGTACAACTCATGTTTAACACTGCTCTGCCCATTACAAGTCCGATTTAAATATTTCTTTTTTCTTATTCGATTGAACATTTGAGTTAATATTTCCATAGAACAATATAAATGTTTTCTAATGAAAATTAATTATTTTAAAACATTTAGGTAAGTCAGCATAAAATATTAAAAATAATTTCTTAGTATTTTTTCCAGGCCTCCTTATCATTAAAAAATATGAAGTTTAGTATCTTGTTTTCAAATATATGAAGATGTTTTTATTTACGATACAGTTCTTTGTTTTTATGTCAAGACGCAGTGGTAACCTTTTAAAATAATGAACATTTTATATAAATATAGAGCTTATTATTATATAAAGGTGAATATACAAATCTTGATTACCAGTATAGATCTTGTCATTTTAGTTGTGTGTCTGGTTGGTGTCGGTGGTCTTGTTTTTTCAGAAATTTATTTTTAGAATGCAAGATACTTTAGATTCAACACAAGGATCCAACTTCCTGTTCCACCACAATTTTCTGGCATTATCTCACATTCATTTCAAAACAGGTTCTTTAGAATGTATTTTTCCATAAAGTATATTAATAGGCTTTTTGAAATGTATTTTTAACACTTCACAAAATATATTCCATAATAATAATTAATAGGAGGTGTCACAGGGAACGTGCTGGAAGAAATATCTGAAGCACTCGGTGATGGTTCCGAGCTATACTTTTATTGTCCGGTAGAGAGGGTAATATGATATATTAATAGTAATAAATATTGAAGCATATTACCAGCTTCGAAAACTAAGCTTCTTTTTTTTTTTCACCAATTATTCTGTACCCCTTTTATTTGAGAGTTTGAATAAACAATACAATTTGATGTTTCCATTTCTGTTTCTCTTTAACAGAAAAGAAGGTTGATGTTTCACCCAAGAAGGCTGTCTGTACTTGTTCCATATTATGAAGACAGTTTGAGTTGGATATCAGTGTCTCCCCAGAACATCTTTAATGGAAGTTTCTTTTAAAAAGAAATTATCAATAAAAATATAATTTTAATGTAAATTTCACAAAAACAAGTTTCTTAAAATTGAAATGAGTTGTTTATATAAGAATTTTTTTCAATTTTAAGGAGTTTATTTGAGTTTCACATTAAAATATTAGTTTTGTTGATAATTTTTTTTTTAAGAAACTCTGACTGAAAAATACGCTTCTTATTCATCATCAATGGCATGAATTGCAGAAATCATCTCTCTGCCTGAACAAACCCATCTTTCAGCATTCCTGTGTAAAGAGTACGTATACGGACAACTGTTTGCGTTTCTGAATGGTTCTTTTAGAATTGTAAAGAAATTTGAATTTTAAGAATTTCAATTGCTTCAATTGCAGTTTCTGTATTTCTGAATTTTCTTGCTTGGATAGGGAATAATTTTTTTTTCTAAAATTGTGTTTCGATAAAGCAATTAAATATCTTCATTTCTAAAATTTCTTATTTTGATCAAATAACCTAAATGCTTTTTGTAAAGAAATTATATTTGAATAAAACAAATAGATTTCTTTCTTTTATAAAATATTTTATTCATAATTAAATAATTAAAATTCCTTTGTTAATAAATTATATTATTGAAATATAGGAATTAATTATTTTAATAACTTTTTTTATTTTGGATATATACTTTTCTCCAGTAATATTTTGTGCTCCATATGAATGGTTAATTAAGTGTGAATGTAACGACTTATATATAATATAACTATCCACGTATAAATGACCTAGAAATTGAAATATAATCCTACAAAACCGAAACTTCTAAGGATTTGATTAAACAAAATTTATCATATACTGTATCCATTTGATTAAACAAATCGAATTCTCCATTCGATTATCCTATGGATGAGTTGTTCAAATTATAATAAACAATGTCAGTATCCGAGGGTTTAATTGAGGAAATATTGCTAAATTGTTTTCTGAGCAGATTAAATTTTGATATTTGAAGAAATGTTGTTGCTCTATCTCCGACTAATTTGTCAAGAGTTGTCGCATTAGCCAAATTGTATGAAGACAAATATTGTCCTAACACAAACACCAAATCTTATGTTAATACTAGAACCTTTTCCAATTCCAGTAGTTTGTCAAACACTCATACCACTCATCCTAAAACCAACATTAAACCTTCACTACCTCCACCAAAAAACATTCAACCAACCCTTTTACCTACCCCTCCAGGCCCACCACTTCGAAACACTAATGTCAAACGCATTAGCCCAGCAGAAATGCAATTGAGGAAAGAAAAGGGACTTTGTTCCTTTTGTGATGACAATTTCTCATTTAGTCATAAGTGTCCAAATAGACAAGTGCTTTTGTTACAGTTGAGGATGAAGACTCGCACGATTCAGTTGTAGCTACTGAGGAGATCACTGAACCTAGCACTTAAAAGATAGAACATCATCTATCTTTAAATGCTTTGAAAGGAGGCCTTGGTGTGGGGACAATTAGATTCATGGCATTCATTGGCACATTGCCAGTAAGAGTACTCATTGATGGAGGGAGTTCTGATAACTTCCTTCAACCTAGAATAACTAACTTTTTGAAATTACCTGTGGAATTAGCACCTAGGTTTAAGGTCATGGTAGGGAATGATAACTATATGTAGTTAGAAGGATTGGTGCAAAATTGTCAATGCAGGTTCAAGGGAATGTTTTTACATTGCTCGTCTTTTTACTTCCTATTTCTGGTGCTGACTTGATTTTGGGAGCTAGTTGGCTCAAATCAATTGGACCACACATAGCTTATTATGCAGCATTGTAACTGAAATTCCTCTATAATGGTAAATTCACTACACTGCAAGGTGACACTGAAACATTACCCGAATCGGCTCAATTGAATCACATCAGGATATGGGTACAAATTGATTCAATTGCTGAGCTTTACATTATACAATTGGTACAAGAAGATCAATATTCTTTTCCTCTACTGGAACTCCCAATAGACATGGAACCAGAATTAGCTTTGTTGTTACACATGTATAATTTGGTTTTTGCAAACACTATTGGTTTACCACCTCCCAGAGTTCAGGGGATCACTCCATACCATTGATGGAAGAATCTAATCCAGTCAAGATGAGACCGTATAGATACCCTCATAGCCAAAAGGAAGAAATCGAAAAGTTGGGGGATGGTATGTTGACTAAAGGCATCATTCAACCTAGTAACAACCCCTTCTCCTCACCTATCATCTTGGTAAAAAAGAAAGATGAATCATAGAGAGTATGCACTGATTATAGGGCTCTTAATGCCATTACTATCAAAGACAGCTTCCCAATTCCAACTGTGGATGAGCTCATAGATGAGTTATATGGAGCTTGCTTCTTCTCTAAGTTAGACTTAAGGTCAGGATACCATCAAATTCTACTAAATCCAAAGGATAGACACAAGATTGCCTTTAAGACTCATCAAGGTCTATATGAGTGGTTAGTCATGCCCTTTGGCTTGACTAATGCACCGACAACCTTTCAAAGTCTCATGAACCAGATTTTTCATGGTTTACTAAGAAGATTTGTTCTGGTTTTCTTTGATGATATCCTAGTCTAAGTGCAACTTGGAAAGACCACCTTTATCACCTGGAGGTGGTGTTGCACATATTAAAGGCGAATAAGCTATTTGCAAGGTTCTCCAAATGCACATTTGGAGTGCAACAGATTGGGTACTTGGGCCATATGCTTTCTGGTGCAAGCATTGCAATGGATAATGACAAGCTAGAAGTTGTTCAAAAGTGGTCTACACCCTCCAATTTGAAACAACTATGAGGTTTTTTAGGGTTGACAGGTTATTACAAGAGGTTTGTTAAAGGTTATGCCTCCATTGCTTCTCCACTAACGAATTTACTTAAGAAAGACTCCTTCAAGTGGTCTCCAGCAGTAGAGAAATCTTCTGTTGAATTGAAAGAAACCTTAACTTCAACACCTGTACTTGTTGTTCCGAATTTCAAGACACCCTTTGTGTTGGAAACTAACGCTTCTGACTCTGGTATTGGTGTAGTTTGAAGCAAGGACAACCATCCCATAGCTTACTTTTCTAAAAAGCTATCATCGAGAATGCAAAGGAAGTCAGCTTATACAAGAGAATTCTATGCAATTACTGAGACACTGTTTAAATTTAGACACTACTTATTGGGTCACAAGTTCATAATCAAAACTGATCAAAAGAGCCTCAAAGAATTATTGCAGCAATCACTTCAAACACCTGAACAACAACAGTGGCTCCCTAAGTTTATTGGATATGATTTCACTATTCATTATACTCCTGGGAAGGAGAATATCCTAGTTGATGCCTTTCTAGAAGCTTTGCAATGGCTTGGTCAGAACCCTCCAATGTATGGTTGCAACAAATTGTTGAAACAACAAAACTTGATACTGCTATGCAAAAATTATACACAACTTGTCTAGATAGTGCAAAACAAAAAATGGATAACTACACTCTCAGTCAGGGATTGGTGCTATACAAAGGGAAAATTATGCTTCTTGAGGATCAAGCTTTAAAGAAGAAAATCATGATTGAATTCCATGCAACAAAGATTGGTGGTCATGTGGGTAATACTAGGACACTTGCAAAAATCAGTAGTCAATTTTATTGGCCTAAGATGAGAGAAGAGGTCAGGAGGTTTGTAAAGGAATGTATGATCTGTCAGGAGGCTAAGATTGAACAATCCTTACCTGCAGGATTGTTACAACCATTGCTCATTCCTCAAGCTGTTTGGAAGATATTGCAATGGATTTCATCACTAATCTGCCTAACTCTCATGGATTTACAACTATAATGGTAATTGTGGATAGATTCTCCAAGTTTGGGCATTTTATTCAATTGAAAGCTGATTTTAATAACAAGTATGTGGCAGATGCATTTATTGATCACATTGTGAAACTTTATGGATTTCCTAAATCCATCATTTCTGACAGAGATAAAGTCTTCATTAGCTCTTTTTGGCAACACTTATTCAAGGCTCAGGGCACTACTCTCTCCATGAGTTCAGCCTATCACCCACAATTGGATGGAAAAACCGAAAATTTGAATAAGACACTAGAAATGTATCTTAGGTGTTTCGTTTTTTATCACCCTAAAACTTGGGTAGAGATGTTACCCTGGGCACAAGTCTGGTACAATTCCTCACTGCATCACAGTATTGGTTTGACTCCCTACCAAGCTATGTATGGTAAACCACCCCCTGCTGTAATTTGTTACCAAGTTAATGACAATGACCTTCTATCTGTACAGGAAAAACTTAAAGCTCGTGATGAGTTGTTGACACAATTGAAGGGCAAATTATACAAGTCTTAAAATTATATGAAAGTGCAGGCTGATAAGAGAAGAAAAGATGTTCAATTAGAGATTGGGGACTTAGCTCTGGTGAAACTACAACCGTATAGTCAACACTCTGTGGTCCTAAAAAAAATCAAAAGTTAAGTTTAAGGTATTTTGGTCCCTTTGAGGTCTTATAGAAAATTGGGAAGGTGGCCTACAAATTGAAGTTACCAGACTCAGCTCGTATACATCCTATGTTCCACATATCCCTACTCAAAAAGTTTCAGGGTCCCACTCCACAACAATATTTTCCTTTGCCACTTGCTACAAATGAGTTTGGTCCTATACTCCAACCTATCAAGACCTTAGCAACAAGGGTGAATACACAAAATGGGAAGGACATTTCCCAAGTATTAATTCAATGAGACTCGTCAAATAATAATGATAATTCTTTGGAAGACTTAAAGGACATACAGACAACTTACCCTCAGCTCAACCTTGAGGACAAGGTTATTTTCAAAGGAGGGAGTAATGTAACAAGCACGGGAAAGGGTGAGGAAAGCAAGGGAGATTCAATTAGCTCAAATGGACACGTGGAAGAGGAAATGCTTATTACGCAAGTGCGTAAAAGCAATAGTTACAAGAGAGAAAATATAAAGTTGCGAGAATTCATTCATGAGATATGAATGGTATGACATCTCTATGTAACTTCCTTCTCTATGATATTCTTGATTAAGTTGTTCTAAATAATTCTGTTCCTAATTCTGTTCTTTTCTAAATCTTTAGTGTGGATATTCTACGTCAGAGCGTGAGAATATGGGTGATGGTGGTTTCTGTTTCATTGATTTTCCTTTGAACTCTTAAAATTTTGTACTAAATCATTATATCTGGAACATTTCTTTAAATAAATTGTTTGATTTGTTATTACAAACAAATTATACGTTCCATATACACTTTTTATATATGCGTCTAACAATCCAAGATTTATGTAAAACTGTTATAATATATAGTGAGTTAACTTGATACTCATTTTCTATTTGTTTTGTCAGTTTCTTATTCTGTGTGTGACTGTTGTGTAGCGAATTCCACTACATCCATAAAAAAGAAAAAGAAAATGAATAATTAAAAGTCTTGAAAACTATTCGTTCTCGATTATTTTAATAACCAACATATTTGAGACGAGCATAGAAAAATGAACCGATAATTATAGAACCATCAAATAGTTTAAAGAGAAAGCTGAAAACAAACACAAGAGTGTCAATGTAAATAACATTTACAAATCATCATCAAGGCAATAAATGAATATCAAATCATATATAGAGTTCTACATTTTATTTTAAAGAAATGAAAGTAATTAATTCACCACATTTCTTTTTACTCTATCCATCGCATCTACGGCATAACATTAATAGTCATTAACAATTCATACGACAATAATTGAATTGGTATGTAAAGAGAAATACAAAAAAGAAAAATGGAGAAAATTGTATAAATATGTATGTAAAGTATTTATATTCTTATCATCGTTGTTATTATCAAAACATCTTATGTTTTTAATTTTGAGAATTCACTAACAACTTATTGCGTGTAAAACATATTTTTCAAAGATTAAACAATAAGATTTATGAACTTCACTAATTATATCAATATGTATTGTTCAATTGCATAAATTAGTTTCTAAATGGTTAAAATATACTAAACATTGTAATCACGTATAAAACAACTATTTTTCTTTACTTTTAGGTTCTAAGGCTTGTTCCAAACTTCCAGTTGTTTTCACACTATTTGATCCTATTGTCCAACAACAAGACATCTTTGCTACATGATTACGCTATATCATAATTTATTGATATTTCACTATTTTACTTTGCGCCCATAGGTTAAGAATGTAAACCCCTACTTTTAGCCAAATTAAGAGCACCAAGGAATAATCGGTCCAAAAGGAGTTATGGTGATTTTTTAAACTATGTTAACCTAGTTTTAAGTTTGGTTGATATAAATATTGGTACATATTTCTAAGTATTAATCTTATTAATTTAATCTCACTTTACAAGACAAATATTCAACATTTTGACGAAAAAGCTAATTTCAAGTCAAATCATACTTTTAGAAAATTGTGAAGTATTGTAACATTTTTATTCGTCACCTTCTTGGTACATTATCTTTACTAATAATAAATTAGGAGGGTTAGTTTGATAGATTAATTTAAACGATTCCATAAATAAATAAGATTTAAATAAATAAATTTATATTGAATTAGATCTATTTTTTCCGATTTATTCAACTTATGTAACTTTAAGTTAGATGAATTAATATTGATCATTTTTACAAAATAATTATTATTTTTTAAATAAAATAAAAATAATATTATTTTATTAAAATATAGATGTATTGTAAATTAACTTGATTTTTAGAAATATAAATATAAGTTTATAAAATTCACTTGTTTTATTATCTAAATATTAAAATTAATTATTATTTTAAATTAATAAATCACTTTAAAAATAATCATGAGTGTAAATTTTTTAAATTTTATTTTAGGATAAAATAAATTTATTTTCTTATAATTTATATATTAGACTATTATATTTAAAATAAAAATTATTTTTATTAATATAATTTAACACATCAATAAATTTTTTTCAATCAAAAATTGATATGTTAATATGTTGGTTTACTAAACTATACAACAAATTATAACATGTTTGAAAATATAAGTTAGACTAAATAATAAATTATTTTTTAACTTAATCCTTCGAATATATGAGACTAAATTGAGCCCTGCATTTAACAACTATTTATTAAGATGAAATTCCTAACTTAAACATTACTTTATTACTATACAAGGCATGGTGATAACTAATTCATGGTTTGATTATTTTTACGAGTTTGTATGAGTTGTTTTATCAAAGATATTTGATGATATATTTTAAAGAACATATGTTCGTTTGAACTTATTTAGTTAATAATCTATTATTTAATTAGACTTGTTTATTCAAATAATATTATTTAATAATTTCTTAAAAATAAATAATATTGATTGGAGTTATTTAACTAATAATCTATTATTTTACAAAAATATACTAAAACTTTCTTTGTAACGTGACATATAAAATGCACCCGAAAACTCTCTTTACCTGTGTTGTACCAAAGTGATCGTGAACCCAATTCAGGTGAACAAATCCTTGGGCCAGAAAAAAAACCAAATCTACATTATTATTGGTTGGTTGGTATTAAAATATTTATTCATGGAATCCAGTAAACGGTGACGTTAACGGGGTTCGGAGCCGTGTCGTTTTGCATGGGTTCAGACGTTAAGTGGCGAATGCGGTATTCTGTTAATTTAATTCACCAATTCCCATTATTTTTAAATTTTGGGTTGTGATTTAATGTTTGCGTTGTTGTTGAGTTGGTTCAGCGTTCACCAACAGAGGCAGCTGAAGAAAAAGGTGACTGCAGAGCAAGGTACCGAATAAAGTCAAAATCCGGAATGGTTTTCACTCTGATCAAACTGTGAAGGTAGCGTTACGTTTCTCTTTCATCGCTATACATCATCCAATTACAGATCTCTCAAGTTTCGATTTCGTGCGTGATATCGCAATCAAATCAATCTCAACTGGAATTTTAGGAACCGAGGAAGGAAGGGTTAGGGTTAGGGTCAGGGTTGAGAAGGCATAGAACAAGTCAATTCAAATGCCGGAAGAGGATTTGGTTGACATCAAGTTTAGGTTGTACGATGGCTCCGACATCGGGCCCTTTAGGTACTCCTCCGCCGCCACTGTCGATATGCTTAAGCAAAGGATTGTCTCGGATTGGCCCAAAGGTCTCTCTCTCTCTCCCCCTTCACTTGCCTCGAAATCAATTTCAATTATTGTTCATAATAATATTTACTTTTGTTTACTGATTGGTTTTGATTGTTAATTTGTTAATTAGTCTTTGAGAACTTCAAATACTGATCGGATAGTTTGGTTTAGAGAGTTCACTTAATGCATGTAACTTCGGGGTGTTCCAATTCCCGGTTCCCTTCTAAGTGGAAACATATGTGAGTGATTTTCGAAGTTTCAAAGGATCACTTATGACTGATGATTGTTTGACTTTTGACGGTTCTGGGAAAAGTGCTATTCAATTTGTTTTTTATCTTAAAAATTGGCGAGTTCAAAATTTTCAGCTTTCATTGAGAACGTTTTGGAAGACTGTGGTTGTGGTGTGTCAAGTAAAATTTGAATTGTATCTCCCGAGTGAAGTGGAGCCCCATCTTTAGGTATACTTGTGTATGAAAGAGCGTAGATTGGACTTTCACAGTCATAGGTTCTTAACTGATGGTTATTATTATCATCAAAGTTGAAGAGTTGCTTACATTTTCTGTTGTCATTTCTGTGTTAGTTTCATGAATTTGAAAGTGGTTTTATGGGAGTCTGAAGACTGAAGAATGAGGACAGAAGATTTTCACCAGAATTTCATTCATACAGGCATGCAGCACTTGGTTTTGCTAAATGGAGTAAAACATTACTGGACTGCAATGGTTATTCTATTATACATACTCACTATGATGAAGCATAACAATTACCTACCTTCCTCAGTCTCATATTGATAGAACTTGAAGATTTGGTTATTAGTTCATATGTCAAGATTGGTAATGGGACTACACAGATTTTTGTATAGAAATCTCCAACACTGCTGAAATCAATTATAACTCTAGAAATATATTTAAGTTACGTTGAAATATGGAAGAAGTTTATTCAAGCAAAAAGAACAAGTATCGAATTGAGAGGACCAAAGCCAAACAAAGGCAAGAGTATAGTGTTCCATGATGCAATAAATAGGTCCAACTACCTGTTGGATCTGTAACTCATGAATGAATAGGGCCAGAAGACTTGAATTGAACAAAGGTAAACTTGGGAATCATGGCATAGCCCGGCTAACTGTTTAAGGAATGGCTAAAACCAACGCTCAAGGTTAGCAACTATCAGAAGAGATGAGGCAAGGAAATCTGTACTGGTCAACCGTGAAGGTGTATTGGGATGCACTACCATCCAGTAGTACCATCCAGTAGGACATGAGATTGAGGACACTGTAGATAGAAGTTCTAATGGAACAGCACAATCTGATTAGAGTGGTGCTGTTAGTTTGTTAAAAGGAGGCCCTGAAGGTGAATCAAACCTTGCGTCAGTGACAGAGGAAAAATCACACTAGAAAAGTGAACACTACCACTGGAAAGTTCTATAGAAGCCATAAGTTGGAAAACTAGATTGTGTAGCTGTAGATGGTGCTTATATTAACAGAAGTTTGTAGTCACTGGACATAGTTCATATGGGAGAGTAGGACTAAACAAATTGTGTATTTTGGAACTCAGACTCAGCAATGGAAATTGTGATGGAATTGATCATGAAGAATGGCTGGCACTGGAGCAATACCGTGTTGAAATGAAATTATTTGAAAAAGGTGTAAAAGAGGGAAATAATTTATTTCACGCATAATGAATGTTATGATACAAAACTCTTGCACTCCTATTTATTTATATTGATAATCAAGGACTTCAAGGATTAAAACATACGAGTTGTGCAACAAGTAAAAGTCCAACCCAACTAGATTTCTAACATATCAAGTCTCCTATACAATAGAACCCAAATATTCCAGCAAGTTACATACTTTGCCTCCTTATGGCTTTTGAAAACAAAAGCATTATGGGCACTTCACTTGTTCAGTTTAAAATGAATTTTGGTGACATTTCCTGATTAAAAATATGTGAGTTAACATTATCATTCTGATGGAGGTATGACTTTTATATATGATAGCCTTGTGGTGATTATTCAGTCAACTTGTTATGTTGACTATTCATATGGCTTTGGGCTATTTTCTACAACTTAATGAATTTAGGTTAAGATGCAGATTCTCTTTTGATTTTTCTTTTATCTGTTGCTTTCCCCCTTGTGTAGGTAAAACGGTCGTGCCAAAGTCAGCTAATGAAGTGAAATTGATTAGTTCTGGTAAAATCTTGGAAAACAACAGGACTGTTGGTCAATGTAAAGTACCATTTGGTGAAATTGCAGGGAGTGTTATAATAATGCATGTCGTTGTACAGCCATCTCTAGCTAAAACTAAAGCTGGTAAGTACCATGGACTTCTTGCACTAGAGAATATAAATAATTTTTAGTTTGATTTTTTTTTTACTTGGCACGAAAATTGAGTAGAGCTCAGTCAGAACCAACTTCCACGAGTTTGCAGCTGAACCTGCATGATGGCATTTTGTCTTGCTAATTTCCGGTAGTATAGTGATTTAAAAACCCATTTGGAACATTTCAGTCTTATGTAACTGAAATAAATGAGTTAGAACTGAGGGACATTTGTTGCTTAATTAGGCTAGCAAGTTTTTCCCATTAGAGATTAATATTTGGAAACATGTTGATGATTGAACTGGTGAAAGAAAACACTTGTTGATGGTTTGTTGGATCAACAATAACTAAACTGGGATAAAATATGTGAGTTATATATTATTAAAATTTATTTAGTAATAAACTTAAGATAAAGCCATATTTGATCAAGTTTGCAAAATTTTTAAATTAGTATAAAATGATCATTTTTTTTTGTTTAAAGATTAAAAAATAATAATACTAGCCTAAATAATTTCTATCTATTGGTGAACCTTATATGTATTATAATTTGGCATTTATTTTGTTAAAATGATTCTGATTGAATATATATATATATATATATATATATATATATATATATATATAAAACTGGTTCTTCATTACTGGCTTTATCAATAATTTTGTATACCAAATTATAGGATTTTATTGCTTTTAGTAGCTGAATAAGCTGTATAAATATTATTGTAAAGTGAAAACCAAAAGCTATATAGGGCTTGTAGTTGATTTCTTTCTTAGACTTATCTAACTTTATTTTTCATGAATTGAGCACTGGTTTTAAGTCCAATTAGCTTGCACCATTTAATGTAGAGAGATTATTGCTTCAAATTGGGGCATAAGAGATGTGTGGAACATAGAACATAAACTTATGGTGTGTTATTTATTATATTTCATCTATACGATTTGCCTAGATTCAAGTTGTATAATTGATGCTAAAAATACTTAATTAGCTGTGAAATGTTGTATTTTTGTCTCTTAAGTGAGAATTTGATTCTCCCGTTTGGTTCATGTGGTAAAGGAAAAGGGTATGCTTCATGTTTAGGTTCAAAAATTAAAATGGTACCAATGTATGACAAGCATATAAAAGAGGGAATGTAATGTCATTCAGTGTTATATTTGTTTGGAAAAATGTGTTTCTAGTGTTATACTTTGTGCTTTCATGATGATGAATTCGGCTTTCAAAGTTAAAAAAATAAAATAAAACATTGTTAATTTAAAGCCTCCTAACTTTAAAAACATGATGGAAACTTAAAATGGAGGAACTAAATCCAAATTGTATCAGAACCAAACATATTTATGTAGCACAAACCTCCATTTTATGTATAAATGGTTAATGTATTGCTTCATAAACTGTGTTCCTTGCAATCTATCTGCCCACACTAACTAACAAGACAGTCACTCCCATTGTTACGTATGAGTGTTTCAGGAAGAAAGTGCAGTACCATTGCCTTAGTTTGTATCTTGAGGCTATCATGGTTTTAGTAAATCTTCTAAACTACGTCTGGACGAATTGTATTAAACCATACGAAGTTTTTCTTAACCTATAAACAAATATGGCAGCAACGTCATATCCTGGTAGGACTTTCATATAGATTTCTTCCTCAAGCTCCCCATATAAGAAAACATTCTTCGCATCAAATGCCTACCATAATTTGTAGCAAGAGGTAATATTATCCAAACTTTATTCATCTTTGTAATTGGAGTCTAGGTATCTGAGTGATCTATCCATTGGTCTGCGTGTAATCCTTAGCAATCAATCTCGCATTGTATCTCAGTCAACCCGTTTGCTATATACTTTAATGTACACACATTTACAACCAACTAACTTCTTTCCTTTTGGCAAAGAGACCTACTCCGTTCTTTTGTTATTCTCCAATGCCTCCATTTTTGTATCCATAGCCAACTTCCAATTTTTATCAGCTAATGCCTCAAAAACATAAATGAGAATTGAGACAGTTTGAGTTTGCAAGAAATATTTTATGTGTGAGAAATAAATTAGAAAATGAGACATAATTTGAGAGAGGGTAGAGTGGTTTTTTAGTGCATTTTTGGATCATTTTTAACAACTTTTGGATCATTTTTAATTGACGTGGAAGGAAGAAATTTTTGCTTTGATTCAGGCACCAAAATGGTAAACTCAAGGCTAGGAAGAACAAGAGCATAAAATTGAGTTTCCTAATCTTCTTGCAAATTCTCCCCAAGTTGAGGTTATTTCAAAAAACTTGATCTTCATGAAAGGTCACATTTCAAGTCAAGAAAAAAAAAATTGGAAGGAGGATGTAACACTAATATCCCTTATGAGTAGAGTAGCCCACAAAAACGCATTATAGGACTCTATGATAATGTTTTCCCCGTACGGTAAGTGGCCAAATGAGACACCTGTAGACCCTTGGTGTAGATTATTAGTAGTGGACAAATTAGGATAGAAAGAAGAAACAATTTCGATAGAATAGGACTCTTGAATTCCAAGATTCTACAGCGAAATTTGTTAATATGATTTGTTGCTGTGAGAACACCCTCTCCCCTAAAAAAATTTGAAACATTATTTTGGAGCGCCATAGTGTCCTATTTTGATCCAAGAGATGTTCATTTTGTCTTTCTGTAACCCATTTTATTGAGACGTTTTGCACAAAAATTCATGAATTATGTCTTGTTTTGACAAAATGATGTAATGACTTGATTGAAATTTTCTTTTCCATTATCACACCAAAATCTCCATGGAAAAAATCAAAATGATTTTAATCATGGAGAAATTAGAAAATAGAACTTCAAACTTGTGTTTAAGAAGAAAAGTCCAAGTAACTCGAGTACAAATAGGAGCCGGATCTGAAACATCGGTATGGATAAAGATAGAAGGGAGATGTACCTCCTTATTACTTAATGGAAATGGGATACGCTTATTCTTTGCAATTTTACACACATCACACTGAAAACTTTCAACCTTTAACTCAATAAACAATGATGGTATCATATCCTTGATGGTTTCAAAAGAATGATGCCCTAAACACAATGAAAAAGTAAAAATCCTTTCCCTTTTGACAATATAGACACTGAAATGGTCTATTCCTTTCAGTAGTGCATCCAATTATTCTCTCCGAATCTTTGTTCTAAAAAGACAACAATCATAGCAAAAATCCACAATACAAGATAGATCTTTTGTAAAATTTTGTATGGAAAGGTCTCAGGCATGAAGAACATTTTTAACAAGGTTGTGAAAGAATTATTTTCCCATGTCAGCTAAGAATGTTTCTTTAGTGGCATATGATCTGGAATCAAGTATCCAAAATGATGGGAAAAGTTGTTAAGAAGTCTGAAGGTTGCTGGAAAAGTTGTCAGATAATTTTGACAGATATTTATCAAACAGTTACTGGAAAGTTGCCAGAAAGTCATTGGAAAAGTGACAACTGTTGGAAAAGCTGAAAATCACCAGAAAATTTTGACAGCTTCAAGAGCTCAATCAAACTTGTTGAATACTAACTTTCTGTGGAAGCAAAACCCCCTTAGATCAGGACTTGCAGATTGATTTATTAAGATAATAAATATCAACTACTATTTTCAATAGAAAAATTAAAACATCACATCTTAAGGTACATTGAACTGTGCTAAACATAACTGAATTGGAAAAATAATGAACTTTAAATGCTTTTATTTCAAACACTTACCTTTACTGCATTATTGCTAAGATAGGTTACGATTGCTGCATTGCATCCATCAATATCGCTTACAATTACTGCTTTGCATCCAGAATGTAGCTTACCCTTACTGCATGTATCCATCAAACGTAGCTTACCGTTACTGCACGGAAACTCCTGCTTGAGATGTTACGATTGTTAGACACTTTTCCAATGCTGCCAGCACTTCCCATCCTTAGCACCTGTACAAAATATGTTTGAAAGTGATGTTCTCATTTTGTGCATTAAAGAATATATTTTTTTCATTAGCTTGAACGTTTGAGCTAATTATTCCTTACCGCTAGTACTTGGGACACTGGTATTATAAAAATGCTTCTTTATAAAAAAAAAATTTAAACATTTAGAAAAGTTAACATAAGAGATAACATGGTATATTAAAATAACGTTTTAGTATTATTTCCTAAGCATGTCATATCATCATAAAAAAAAATGTCAAGTTCAGCAAGTTATTTTAAAAAGATGAATATACCTTTCTTGAAATTTCATTATTCTAAAGACACAAAGTGCTTGTATTTTCCAGTAATGTTTCTTTTTTATATATTTTTTTGAAGCTTGTTCTTATAAAATGGTGAACATACAAATCTTAATTATGAATATAGATCATGTCATTTTATTTGTATGCGTGGTTGGTATTTGGTTGTCTTGTATTTCTGAGATTAGACCTGTCAGAGTTCTTTCTTTTAGATTGCAAGAGAATTGGGATTCAATTGCACTCTGTAATTTTTACTTTGTCTGGTGGAGGGTAATACGATATAGTAATAATTGCTGAAGGAAATATCTAGGTTAGACCTTGGGTGAAGAGTCGAACCTCAAACATGAAACATATCACCAGTTGAATAAACAATACAGTTTCATTTTACATTTTTCTTTTTCGTTAACAGAAAAGAAGGTTGATGATTCGCCCAAGAAGGTTGTCTGTTCTTGTTCCATATTATGAAGACAGTCTGTGTGCTGGATATGCGTATCCTTATACATCATCAGTGAGTCGTGAATTGTAGAAATCATGTGCCTGAACAAAACCTATTTCAGCATTTCTGTGTAAAGTACGTATACGGGCAACTATATATCCATAGAAAAGTTTGTGTTTATTGTGACTTCCGAAGATGCTGTCATTCTTTTATTACAAGTTCTACAGGGTTGACATTGTAACCATTGATTGGTACTGTTGTGCATCAAGTTGTTGTTTTGAATTTGCAATGTGCGTGATATCTTATGCATCTCTGAGTACCTAAGCACTTTAGCAGTCTTCACATTCTCTTTCAGTTTGTCATGGACATCACGTCGATAATTCACTCACAACTCTATTTCCTGATGGAAGTTTGAACTACCAACTACAAGGTACACTTCCAAGTTCAAAAGGCCCATATGGCCACCCGATTTTCGGCCATGTGAGGTTGATTTAATTTGCATGATAAGATTTTTTTTTTTTCAATCTAAATTTCACATCAGAAGTTACCTTATTTTTTTCCCTATAAAGCAAAGTGGAAATATTTTTTCGAAAATTAAACCTCAAAAAGCTCATATGTTAATAACAAATACAAATTTCAAATGCAACTAATAACCATCTTGAATTTATGATAAAGATGTGTATTTAGAAAATAATGTTACACTAAAATTATATTATCTAGTAATCGAATAAAATTGAAAAATAATTATTTCTTAAACAGTTGAAAAATAGAAGAAAAAAAATGTCATATCTTGACAATGAATGCAACTCTAAAAGGTAATTTTTTATCTCTTTTCTAAGATTGATACAGTACACGGGTCTGGACTATATTGAAACATATTGAAACTTCATAGGTACAAGGACAAAAATAATAATAATAAAAAAAAGTGGTAATAAGAAAATAAAATATTTAACAAAATTTAAGTTGTAAACTACATAGATAATATTCGTAAGCTTGACATTTAACAATAAATATTAATAAGGTCATTTTATTACAAATTATAATTATTTATAACTTTTAAATAAGAGTAACGTTATAAAACTAAAAAATAGAAAAAAAATACACTATTTTTTATCTAGAAAACAGAAAAAATAAAATTATCTCTGCAATATAACAATTAAATAGAATAATTAGCCCACAATTAAATAGGATAATTAGCCCATAATTAAATAGAATAATTAGCCCACAATTAAGCAATCAGTTCATTAATTAGTTTACGTGGTTGCGTTTGTTTTTGAATCTGGAAATATTAAAATTGTGTAAAAACTAAAAAAGTAAAATAGGATAATTTTTTATTTCAATTTTTTTTCTTGATACATTATCTTCCGGTCTTCCCTTTTTTTTTTTCTTTGGTTTACCAGAGAGTAATATAGAGGGTATACCAACATCGGAAAAAGAGAAAATAAAGAGGGAAACAGGAGATTAAATTGAGGCGGATCATTGGCAAATGAGAGAATAAAAAGGGAAAGGAAATTAAATTGAGGATGGAATTAATTAATGGGATCAAAGAGTTGGAAATTGGGATGGTAGAAATTAGACTGAGAAAAGTTGCAGCCAGCCACTCAAGGAAATTGAATCAGCCTTGTGTATCATTTCTCCACTATCTGCCCACAATCTTCTATTACTACCGTTTCTGATGTCCTGCCACTTCCCGAACCTACCTTTTCCATCTCCTTCACCACACTGTATCCATCAACAACTTTTCCAAACACAACATGTTTTCCATCAAGCCACGGTGTCGTTGTAGTACAAATGAAGAACTGAGAACCGTTGGTATGGGGTCCAGCATTGGCCATGGAAAGAATACCAGGGCCAGTATGCTTCAACTTGAAATTCTCGTCTAGAAATTTGGAACCGTAGATTGACTCTCCTCCTGTCCCATTCCCTCTCGTAAAATCACCTCCCTGACACATAAATTCTGGGATAATACGATGAAATGTGGACCCTTTGTAGTGCAAAGGTTTCCCGGATTGACCAATCCCTTTTTCCCCAGTACACAGAGCCCTGAAGTTTTCAGCTGTTTTTGGAGTTGTATCAGCAAACAGCTCCATCACTACTCGCCCAGCTTTCATCTTTCCAATTAAAATATCAAAGAAAACTTTTGGATTTTTAGACATATTGATCACCACTTCCTCTGGCTGAAATTAATTTCTTAGTCCCTACACAGATAAAGTTGCAAGACATCACTGTTTGATAGCATCGCTATGTCCTCATTTTTTTTTTGGCAAATAATTAATCGTTATGATTCTCAGAAACTAAAGAATGCTGTTCATTCGAAAATACTAAAAATGCTGGATTCTTATTGGCTTAAGATACGAGAGAGAATTAAAATGTTACAATATTTGCCACAACGTGTAAATGTTATTCCATATGAATCGGAAAACACGAAGAGACATTCACGGTGGGAACATTAGATGTAGCTTAGGTTTTATGTTTTGTGCTGACGGCAAAACTAATCAACACAAGACCGTCCATAAGCACAGCAATTAAACAAAATCATCAAAAGGGAACATGTTTTCACTACCAAACATTGTTCCTTGCAGAAGGAAACAAATAAAAAGGGGAAAAGCCTTAATTCGTAACTAGGCTCATCATAAAATGTTTATCATCCTGCATAAAATTCTCAAGACATGCACAGCAAGAGGATCTGAATATAAAAAAGGATGATATGCAATTTAGCACATGCTTTGAATTCACAGGCTACAATAGAGCGTTGCAAATCTTCGAAATGTGCAATGTCAAACTTAAGTTGAAGTTGAAGTAGAGTACAAACAATGAAAATGGCACAACAATGGCATAAATATAGAACATACAGGTCTGGTAAATGCGAAACTCGAATATTTGAAAACGAAAAGTTTGCAGATCGATTCATCAAAATGAAAAACATTCTCGAAAAGACAAATTTAACCAGGTTTTGGTCCACGGTATTGAATATAACAGTCAGACAAACACCCAAAATCAAATCAAATCAATAATCACAAGTTCATGCAAACATTAAACAAAGAAAAAACTTAAAAAAAAAAAAAAAAAAAACCATCGTATCTGTTATAACCAAGAACTTGAACTATAATCGAAAAAAGAAGAAGTATATAACACGAAAAACTTATCTATACAAAATGAAAATATAAAAATTGAAGACAAAAAACCATAGATAAATAGAATCATAAGCTGCAGGAAACATAATTCAATATAACATGGTTAATAGAAAGATTAATACTCATAACTTACCTACAAAACGCAGCACTAAAACCCTAGCCGCAAGTGAACAATATCAAACAATAGTGTGAGAAGAAGTGACACGAGGAGGGTTTATGTAAAGGGTACAACTCTTTTCCTATTTACAAAAATACCCTTAGTATTTTTATGTAATTCCTTTTCCACCCTTTTGCTTTGCTCGCTGTGAGAAAGAAAGCCCTAGTTAAGCCTTCAAAATTAAACAAATCAAATCATGTATAACAAAGTCCATTTATATTTTGATTCCATTAATTATTAAATGGAAGGTAATTTTTTCTAAATAAAAATATTATTTTAATATAATTTTCATATAAATTTAACTGGTAAAAATTGTCTACATAAATATTTTTTTATTTTTAAATAATTTTGTCCATAAATTTATAATAAAATAATATTTTTATTCATATATAATTCTTGTAAGAATTAAAAAAAAAAATCAAATTAACTGATATTTTTTACACTCATTTTATTTATAGTTAAATTATAAAATATAAATACATAATTTATAAAAAAAATAATCTTAAATAGTTCTCTCACTTATTACGTTACATGACTTATTTTGTTATTATTTCTTTTGAGCACTATTTTAAATTTAAATTTAAATTCAAAAATAAAATAATATAATTTTATTATTTATATTAAATACCAAATATGTTATTTAAATAAACTATGTATCTATATCTTTAATTTAAAATATTTTTTACTTTGATTATATTTATTAATGATTTTCATTTTTTAGCGTTAAAATGATTAATAATAATAATATTAGAAAAAAAAGAATATTTCAAAACTACATAATTTTTTTAAAAGTAAAATCCAAATCATATTTAAAGAAACTTAAAATATAGTTCAATATTTTTAAATTAGTTTTTTTATAATATTTTTTTCATCCTTTAACCAGTTTTTTTTCTGTCATATTTCTATAGGAAAGTTTATACAGCATAAATTTTAATTTTATAAAGAAAAACAATTAATAAACGAATAATATCACCAATTTTTAAATAGAAAATAGTAATATTATAAAAATTTATACATTGTTGTCTTAATATTTTTTATTCTTCTAAATTGTTTTTTCAGGTTCTCTCGCTTAATTTATATTATCTTATTCTTACACTAGATGTTAAAACGAATTAAAAATTATATATATGAGAACTAGAAAAGCTAAAAATGTGTAAAAGTTGAAAAAATATTTCATTTTCCGGAATAAACTTACTCTATGGTAATTTTTCCCATCTAAATTTATTATTGAAATATTCATCAGAATAAACCTATTTGCTATATAAATTCAAAATTGGACTTTTGAGGAATTCAAAACTGATAATCAGATATTATCTGAAAACTAATTTGAAATTAATATTATCTGAAAAATCCATTATTGATAATCAAAGTTAATATTAATTTTGAAATTAATAAGTTAATAAAATATTTCATTATTAATTATATAAATAAATTTTGAATTTAGAATTAATAATATTAATATTAACAAAAAAATTATTTTCATTCTCCACTATAAATATAATACTTTATTTAATAAAAATATTAAACATTTAAGTTATTTACAAATCTGAGTATTATTTACAAATTTATACGAGTATTATTTACAAATTTATACGAGTATTACAATATATCTCTTATAATAAAAAAAATATAATTAATTTCTAATAATAAATCTAAATTATTTACAACAATTTATGCAATTAAAAAAAATAACTTCAGTGTTTTAAGTAATTTTTTTTACTATTTTAATTTAATTATTTAATATTTTTAAATTTTGTATTAATTTAACATTAACATATTTTTAAAAATAACTAATAATAATAATTATTAGTTATACAATATAGCATATCTCTTTATTTATAGCTTTTATTGTTATTAGCATTTAATATTTAAATATTTTGAAAATGAGTTTAGATGAAGAATTCTTTCGAGACGGAGGGTTAAGCACAAAGCACAGACGAAACAGAGAGAGGATAAGCGAAGGTGGTGGCATATGTGAAGGAAACAACGGCACCACTGCGTAAGGTTTTGCCATCATTAACGAGACAATCATTGTAGCGAAGGCGTTTGAAGATTTTAGGGTTGATGAGACGCGCAGAACTGAACATGCCACAGTTTATATGAATTTGAGAAATGGCGCAGTCAGTACACGTATTCTCGATCTCAACTCTGTATTGTGGAATCCCGTTTGGAAGTTCAGTCGTCGGACTTTGGCTTATTTGGATGCTCAACCTGCTACACTTCTCCTCTATCTTCATTCCTCTTTTGCTACCTGTCACACACACGATTCCGATCAGGAACAAGGTTACGATAAAACCTTGTGTCTTCATTGAATTGCAACGCAGAAGAACTGAAACACCGCGAGAGAAATAAACCGTCTCAATGAGGTGAGAAAATTAAGCGATATTCAGAGACTATCGGAAACGAGAGGAACAATACCAATGGAGACGAAGGTGAGTATACAAAACAAAACATGCATATATTTATAATAAGAAAGAATGAAAAAAAAAAGTTTTAATTTATTAAATGTTAATTTTGCTTTCTTTTCATTTATTATTATGACGTTGATCGATTAAAACTCAATTACAACGTGATATCCAAGTATAAGTCAAAGACTTTTACTTAGGACCAATTAAATTATTACATTGAGTAGCAACTAAAGGTGTCATAAAACTTACTTTAAATGAAAATACAATTTAAATTTATTGCGTAATTACTATCATTTATTTTATTTTGTGAGTCAATGCACTGTGAACAACAAAAATAATATTAGGTTTTAGAAAATGGAACCGTAATATATAATTTATTAAGGAAAACTATAGAATTTTTTTTAAGAAAAATGATCTTCAAAATCAAATTAGATTCGAAGTCAATTACACAGAGATTGATGATTATCCGAATGTGAAAAATAATATCATTTTATAAAATATTTTTTTCCTCAAATCAAACTAAGAAAGAAAGATTAAAAAATAAAATGGCAGTCAAGGCCCACATATTTCTATGATGAAAAATGAGAAATCAAGATTAAGTAATTGTTTATAAAAAAAAAAACGGTGTATGTTGAATTAAAATTTTGAAATTTTTGGTATTGTTCAAAGAGATCCGTATATTTATATTTTAAAAAAAGAGAACGTTAAAGAATAAGACTACACAATTATATTGGATACACTTCCTATGTGAAAAATTATTAAATAAGATGGTATACATAATATCCCATCGTAACTTTATTTTTACTAAGTTAAATAAGTTAGACACGAGAGTCACCTTTCCTATGTCTCAAAATTTATTTATTTTAAAATAATAAACACTAAATATAAGATGATGCAACCATATATATATTCGAGACTCACAAAGGCTTAAAATATGATAATGTGCATAAAACCGTCTAATTAAACTTTGGTGGTCAGTAGCAGTTAATAACGAAAGATTGAAAGTTGCCTATACCCATGTTCAATCAGATATCCCAGAGTATCAACGTTCCAAATAAAGAAATAAAGTCAAAACCCCAGCCGATGAGAGACCACAAATAAATAACGTTCTTTGTAAATAGGTCGTCTAAATTATTTAGACCCTGAAGTAATATAATGGGTGGAAAACATTTCAATCAGAAACAAATAAAGCCAAAAATATAAACAACAAATTGAAATCAAAGTCCCGTCTACAAGCCCATACAAGGAGAAACAACAAACAGAACGCAGGAAAAAAAAAGGGGAAATGACGAATAATAGTTCACCCGTACCAATTACAAGAAAACCTCAAAGCCAGCACTAAAAAATCAGAGGAACAGAAAAATGGAACCATTGTAAACCAGGAATAATAAATAGGAAAATCAGAAACAAAAGGAAAAGGGTTCGCAGGACGGCCCACAGTGGCTGTGGTGAGGGTTAGGTGCGATGAGCGACACAGCTAGGGAGGGAGGACGTGGTGGCTCCGGTGCAGCTCATAGCGTGGCTAGGGTTTTGATGGTGAGGGGATATGAAGTTTTTAGGGCAGGAGCAGGGAGGAGGTGCGACTAGGGTGGCCGGAGTTGCGCGGGTCGCGGTGACCTTAGGGCTCGCAGAGGTGGAGGTTAGTGTTGAAGCTACGGTGGTTTTGGCTCGTGGCGAGGAGTGGCTGCGGGGTGGAGCGCAGCTAGGTTTTATGGCCTAGCGGTGGTGGTCGGTTGGGAATGTGGTGGCAGCGGGAGTGAGGGAAGAGGTGCGGGAGAAATGGAGATGAAGGCTGGTGATGATGGTGAATGAGGATGGAGCTGTGATCGGAGAGGGAAGGGGGTGAGATCGGGTGAGGGGAGATAAGGGCGAGTGGGATTGAGGGAGAGGTACGGGGACGAAGGAAAAGAAAAACAATGATTAAAAAATAAAATAAAAAATAAAAAATAAAAAACAAAGCCTAATAAGAGGATTAGAGAAAAATACTTATTCTGGCTTTCTCTTTTTTCGGTGTCTCCTGTCTTGTTTTGCTAGTCCTTTATATAAAGAGAGCTGACAAGAAAGTCAGGAGATATTTGGGGAGAATATCTGAAGAAAAACAGGGAAAAGTGGATAATGGACTTTAAGAAATTCAGGGAAAAAGGAGATAATATCGGGAGAAAAATGGATATATGATTATTAAGAGAGAAGAATAAGAAGTTAGAGAATATATTTTTAATAAATATTTTATTTAAAACCTAAAATATATTTGTTTTACATACTCAATTATTATTATAAAATAAATATATCAATATTTGCATAACTCCATTTATAGAATTTTTTTAGTATTAATATTTTTAATTGTACCGTGTGTAGGATATTAATAACGTCATAATTAATATTTTTAAATACTTTATCAAAGATAAATTTAAGTACACCAAATTATCACATTTTGTGTCCTCAAGATAATAAGAATTTATATTTAATTGAATCGTTTTAAGAATTATTATTATTATTGAAAATAGATTAGTTAAAAAAATAAATTTAAGCACTTCAAATTGTTATCATTTTTATGTTATTTATATATATAATTGAATCTCAATAAAGTTATTTCAAGATTTTTAAAAATTAAAATCAATCATCATATTATTCAATTAAAAAAATATCACAATTTGATTATATTAATATTGAAATTTGAACTTTAAAGTTTTATATTTTTTTATTTTTATTTACCTTATTTAGTCCTCAAAAAATATTTATTTAATATTAATAATTTCAATTATATTTTTATTTATGTTTAGGATAATAAAAAAGTCTCCTTCTGTGAATTGCATGTCAGAAAGTGTAGAAAATCCATCGGACATGGATTAAGAAAAAAGTGCTCCAAACAAATATATATATATATATATATATATATATATATATATATATATATATATATATATATATATATATAATATGTATGTTATATCAACTTGTAAGTGCCTCTGGTTAAAAATCTAAATAACTTTGGAGAAAGAGTGGACACCCAGAAACAAACATAGATACATAAAATTGCTTCAAATACCATGCTAAAGAAAATTGTTCAATTAGTCAACGATTCATTCTGTACTGGACCAGAAACTTTAGTGTCAATAAAATGGTAGAGGTGAAACTAAACAAAGAATTAACAGTATTAATGATAAAAGCAGCACAGTAAAAAAAAGCACAAGCTACTCAAACCATAGAAAATCGTCTTACCTACACGATTTAACCCATTTTAAAAAAAATTCAAATTTTCGACCCTATTTGATAAAATCAAATTTTTTTTTACCGAGAATGGTAAAAAAGCCTCGTTCTAGTTTGCAACGTGAACACTTCCTTTCATGCATATCTTGTTAAGCAGCTCTTGGATAGTAACTGATACCTCCTACAGGATAAACACGAACGTCTTCAGACTTAATCAAAAAGCATATACTGTAATTGATATTGTTTTGGATTAAAAAAGAAGAACATAGCAACCTATCTTTCTCAAGTTTTTTTCTTCAGCGTCATGTTTATCCCTCTTCAGAGAATACACCAATGAGCGATTCTTGATCATTGTTTAACTCTTCAGTCTCTTTTTCTGCATAATTGAGCTGGTGAAGAAAAGAAGTAAGAAACTTGCAACTGAATTTAAACAAGGACAGAAGAAACTTTATGGGTCGGATAAATTCAGCAAGTATATAATATTCGATCAAATCTGGATCAATTGAATAGTCTACATTTTATTTATTTTTCATTCACAATGTTATAGACAGGAAATGTACAAATGAGAAGTCTTAAGGATGGAAAAATGTCATATATGATACACTAAATTTGCGTGGGATAGACTTCAAATCACATTGGTATAGTGGTTCCTTACCATCCTTTACATCTTTTCCTTGCAATTCAACGTCAACTTCTTTAAGGGATATTTTCAAACAACAAAATAAGAAAACAATTTATAGACTGAAAGTATTTTAGACTCCTAGTCATCACCATAACTCAAAATTTAGAAGCAATTTTCCGTAATCGATTATAGCAGCACTCATTTTGGAACGCGCAAATTAAAATCATCAGCCACTTGGTTTGGACATTTTTGGAAACAATAATTCAAGTTCCAATGCATGGATATATACTATCAGAAAAATAGAGAATTGGAACAAAGTGATATAAAGATGATGATGTGAATACCTTCAGCTTGAATCCCCGTATGTACTGCAAGGCTTTTCCACTTGATGCAGTATCTTGAAAATATCCATTCTCATTTTTAATTGACTTTTCAGCAGTAAATATGTTTTGAGTTTTCCTCTTAGGCAAGAGAATATCACTGACATCAACATCATCATCATCATCCGTAGATGATTGTTCAAACGATTTTTGTATTCTGGTAAACTCAGCAATCTTGAAAGCTCTAGAAATCCCATGAACCACGAACTTCTCCGAAGTGATCATGTCAGGTGCCACAATCTCAACACCATTAACAACCATGCCTGTCACGAAATCCAGAATCCCATCAATTTCAAGATGCTCATCAGGCACGAGCGTCTTCAAGAGAGTCCTAACCGGCAAAGAAGTGAGTTCTTTGTAGCAAAACTTTTGAGGTAGAATATGAAGTTTCACCGCTTTATCAAGTAAAGTTGAAGGGCAGGGGTCAAGTAAGGTGAAGTCGGGAGGAGCAAAGATGGTAGCAAAAGTTACACCACCTGAAAAATCTTTCTTTATCTCATCAAGAACAGAGTGTAATGCTGTTGAGAATGAAGCATACCCTTTCGCACGAAGCAAGCGAATAATGCGATTCCATTGAACCCCACTCTTAAAGAGGGAGGCATGGGAGGAGTTGGAAAGACAAGCAGGAGAGTGAATAAAAAAATCCAAACCCCTTTGAAGAAGGTCTTGGGCGTGGAAGGGAGAGAAGGGTGCAAGAACCCCATGCACGGCTAGTTGCTCTCCAAGGAAAATGTTAGGGTTTGATATCAACACGTTGTTAATCTCGACGGAGTTTCGTGCACGGTCAACTTTGGTGAGGGAGATGTTTTTGTGGCGAAGGAGAGTTGTGAGGCAGGTTCCTTGGGACATGTTGAGGAGGTCGTGGAAGGAGAAGGGGTTGTAGGTGGTGGTGTGGTAGAGGAGGAGGGTTTTGAGGAACCAAAGAGGATGTGAGGTGTTTCTGATTGCTGAGTCTCTGATGGCGAAGATGGTTGAGTTTTGGGGCGGTTTGAAGAATGAAGGAGAGTGGTGGAGAAGGTCTGCCATGAGTATGAACCCTGCTCTTCGGAGAGCCTTGGAAGCATTCAGTGAGAGGTCATGGGGTATGGGCGTGGCTTCTTGTGTTGAGTTCTTGGAATCAGATGAACGCATTGCTGAGGATATGGCAATGATTCCGAGGGCTATTGAGGCTGCCATGTAGAGTGGGAACCAACACCAACGGGAATAAGCCATGCACAGAAGAACATGAACGTGTCATGCACAGCACTGGAAGAAAGAATGAGTGGTGCTTCTTTTGAAGGGAGAACGTCTCTGATGACAAAACTTTAATAGAATATTACATTTTATTAATTTATAATAGGTAGAGAATATAATAGAAAATGCAGAGGGAGGGAGAGAGAGTAAGCACAGCTTTGAAAGTGAGGACTTGACAGGGAGAGAGATACGTCATTGGTTTACCTCCTGAGTCTGCATGATGTGTTTCCCAATTCTTAAATCCAAGAACAAGAAACAGATATCAGGTCTGGTAAAAAAAATAATACACCAATGAAAATTTCCGATTTATTCTTTATATTATATCAATAAGTAGATGTAAATAAGATTAAATTGTGTATAGCTTTTACTCCTTATTTCATCCCCTTATTTTCAAATTACAATTTTATTGCAGGGAGAGTATTCATAAAAATCGTTAGTTTCTTAATAGGTATATGATTAATTTATTTTAAAAAATAAAGTAAAAGTCACCTAACAACACCTGTTAAAGAAACTATTATGCATCATCAACTTCAGTCGATTTCACAATGATTTAACGTTATTTAAATATATAAACAGGAGATAAATTTAAGAAAATATGAAAATTTTCAATTTTTTTAAGATGAATTTCAAGTTTTAAATTTTTTAATTTTTACCCATCAACATATTTTATAATAAAATAATTCAATTTTTTCATGAAAATACATTATCTTTTATAAATTTCTCATCCATACACATTTCAACCTGAAATCTAGGAGTGAAATTAATTTAAACACAACTAAACTATGTTGTAGGTTTTCAAAATTAATTATATTAAAATCAATTTTAAAACAAGAAAATCCAACAGTTCCATCTCACACGTAATTGATTAACAACAATCTCCATATAATAATGCACATCACCCCCATTAACTTTTCTTCCAAACAAAGCAAAGGAAAAATCCACCACAAAAATCTCATCTAGGATAAAATAAAATCCAGTAAGTCTTTTTACCTAGTATATATCATGATTTGGCGAAGAGTCTTTTTTTTTTTTATCTAATCATGAAAATTGAATTATTCAGATGTAAAGAACCAAACTAAATCACCTATTTATTTAAATATAATTTTATATTTAGAATTAATTAACAATTAACAAACGTAAGTGAATGTATCAAAAGTGCTTCAATTAAAAATGCTTTCTGGTATTGGAGAACAACGACAGTAAAAGGAACATTCAAATAGATACATAAAATTGCTTCAATTGCCATGATGGTAAAGAACATTACTATTCATTCCTCTGTACTGGACAGAAATTTTAATATGAATAAAAATGCTATAGACGTGAAACTGTACAAACAATTAACAGTATGATCCTACATCCTAAGTTAGGAGCTTCCTATAAATGATGAAAGCAGCACAGCAAAAAATTTGTTGGCTCCCAGCGTCACGTAACACTAAACAAAGAAAATGCAAAACAAGGCCATCATCATCGTTCTAGTTTGCCACCCGTAGACTTCCTTTCAAGTGTCCGTATCTTGTCAAGCAGCTCTTGGATAGTATTTGATGCCTCCTACAGGAAAAACACAAACGTCTTCAGACATTCTTTCATTTTTTTTTATCATATATTCAGGGAAGAAAGAGAGGGAGAAGGCAGAGCAGTGCATTAGGTAAGAGTAAAACCTGAAGCTTCTTTCTCAAATTTTTCTCTTCAGCGTCACGTCTATCCCTCTCTTCAGAGAATACATCAATGAGAGTTTCTTGATCATGGTTCAACTCTTCAATCTTTTTTTCTGCCTCATTTAGCTGATGAAGAAAAGAAATAAGAAATATGCAACTGATTTCAAAAAAGGACAAAAGAAGTTTTACGGGTTGGATAAATGGATCAAGTATCACATATTTTAATGTCCTCAAATTTGGATAAATTGAATCCACGTCTTTTCTATTTAATTCATTTCAGCCATGAAAGTGCTAATGAGACAATCCCTAAGGGTTGAGAAATGTCATAATTTTGTAAATGTAAACTACATTTGATGGGGAGAGACTTCAAAGATGCAAGTTCAACAATATACCCCGACATCGGCTTGGGGATGAAAACTGAGATCATATCACTGTATGCCACTTCACTCCACTTTCTCCTCGAGTAGTGACCTCATGAGTCAGAACCTCCCTTACGTAGTCTATTGAAGATATTCGTAACCAACTCTGATACTAATTGATAAGTATCCAAACACTTGAAAAATCAATCCTTGGACCTAGTTGATAAAGAGGGACAACCAAATTCTTAGATACTTCACTAAACATCACTACTCAATGTTCCGGTGTCCATAATACTCAATTCTCGATCATAAAGCACATCAACGACTAGGTTAAACAAGCTACAAAGGTAATCCTCGAGGGTAAACTTTCCTTTATAGTAAAGTCTTAGTATCACTTTTAGAGGTTCTCCCACTAGTGATTACTCCATTATAAAGTTATACTGTAGCCATGAAAGAAGCTCACTCAAGTACATCCTTGACATTATGTAGCCCAATCATCTATTGCCATTTCCATTTCCTAGCGAAAACATACTTTAGACATCCTGACTTAATGTAGTATGCTTGAGGATTGCCCAAGCAACACTCTTGTGGATCGTAATGTAAAGCTTTTTTCAAGTTAAGTAGAGTCATAGAAAGACCCTTAAAGACCATCATCTAGTAGGGAGACTTAATTACTTCATTGTCACTAGGCTAGAAATCACGTTTGCAGTCAGTGAATGTTAGTCAATTTTTGAAGAATCCATGTGACAATCATTGGAAAGTTGTCATGTGTATCCGTTGATACCTCAAAAATGCACTAGGTCGTGGATTAATGAGTATAAGGCAATTTTAAAATTGTCTATTACTCTTACATTGATTGAACAAGATCACTTACAAGACAAGAAGTTCACTTCTCTATTGTGTTCTTATTAGAGGAAACTAAATCTCTTGGAGGACCAAGAATCTTAAAACAGTTTCTAGATCCAATGTTGAAGTTGAGTACCGTGCCAAGCCAATGCCTGCTCGTGAGATTACATGGCTTAGGAAACTCTAACCATTAAAATTTGGAGAAACATAGGGTACTGAACTCATGTGACAATCAAGTTTCTATTCACATTGCATCATATCTAGTCTGTTATGTGCAAACCAAACACAGATTGACGGTCATTTCTGGTGAGAGAAGGTTTTAGGTTTTCTTAGTAGAAATCAACACTAACTTTGCTAACTCTACTGACTAATTTCCAAACATGTTCACTAAACCCCTTGAGGAATCTCGTAATGACACTATATGTAACAAGTTAGGCTTATATGACAAATATGCTTAAGCTTGAAGGGGAGTGTTATGTATATGATTTGATTATATTAAATAGCTATTGATTTTGTTCCTTATTACTTAATCTCTTCTTCATTATAAATAAGAATAAGTTATGTATGCATAACACACAATTACAAGCAATACTCACTAGTATGATTTATAAGTTTTATCCCTTTATAGTTTACACAATTATAAATAGCTCCCAAGTTATGTATAGAAACTAATATGTTCCTCTTTCAATCTTTTAGAATTTTCTTAAACCTCAAAATCTCATAAATAGCATAGTGAGTTAATTAATACCATGTACACCAGTACTCTTTCAAACTTCAATGTGCATATCATAACAACTAACAACTTTATACTGATTGTCCTTTAAATAACTTCTTTTACCTTTCCAATTAGTAATCTGCAATAATAAGTCAAATTTTGTTCATCAACTTGGATTTCTAGTTCTTCTTAATTATAGTTCTAGATCATTGCATTGATATTTTTCAACAAGTTGTGACTATCGAAACGGAGAGTTAGGAGCACTTATGATAGTTATTTGTAATAGTGGACCTAATAGTGAAAATAATAACTAACATGCTGATATTTAGAACTTGCTTAGACAAGTTTCTTCATAAGTGCTTCAAGGAAATAAATATGGAAAAGAAAAACATTGAAATCTTACATCAACTAGAGATACAACTCAATTATAATATGTGATCCTCACCTTATAACTCAATTTGGTAAGGTTGAGTTAGACCTATATCAAATTTCTAATATGGTTTCAAAGTTTATCCTTACACTGTTAAAACTATTATACAACCCATTATCCAGCAGTTATTGGACCACCCATATATTTGATATGAGGGGGTGTGTTGGAATTGGAGGTCACCCATATCTTTGATTTAAGGGAGTGTGTTGAAATCTCATATCAACAAGATATATAATTAAATTGTAGCTTATAAGTGGGATCAAACTTCATCTCATAATTTGGTTTTGAAAATTTGAGTTAAGCCCATATCTACATGTTAATAAAATAAAATAAGCTTCTCCATAAGCTAATTTGTAAAAGTCTATCATATAATTTCTTTAAACTCTTATGCTTAACTTGCACATAAGCTAATCTTGACTTTTGGAGAAACTAATTAAAATTATTTTCTTATTTTTTTTTCTCATAGATGTACTTTAGAGAAATTTATCCAAATAAACCCTTATTATAGATCCAAAAAACAACTAACCTAATCCAGACAATAAGCAACAAAAAGCACGAAACTAACTCTATCCTATTAAAACAATTCAAATCAAGTTACAATCACGAACAAGCTAAGTTCTCTAATTAAGAGAAAATTGCTAAGACAAATAATCCTAAATAACAAAATAATAAACTAAGCAAGCACTCAAGAGTCAAAATCATAAACAAATAATAGAAACAAGTAAACCAATCTACATTTAATGACACCAAATATTAAGCCATAAAGTGTAAAGATCATGGTCCAAACCTGAATTTCAAGAGATTTACACTTGTCTTTCTCATTCTGCAAAACATGAGACACTTCTAAAATTTCCTCCTCCTTCCTATGTAATCTATAACAAAAAGCAAGGATAAGGCCCGATGAATTAAGTCACTTAAGAAAGCAATACATGTTGCGAATGTTCTAAAATTGCAATATACCTTTCCTTCAACTCGTGATTCTCTGTTTTCAATTGCTCAGGTGTTAGTAAATCATTGTCAGGTAGTAGTTGCTTCCCATCATTTACATCTTTTCCCTGCACTCAAACATCAACTCTTCCTTAAGAGACATTTTCACACAAAAACCAATAAAATAATATATTGATAAAAAGCATTTTAGACTTTTAGTCATCTTCACCATAACAGAAATTATTGAGGAAATTTTTCTAAATCAATTATACCAAAATTCGTTTTGGAACATCCATAGTAAACAAATAACTGAAACCATGAGCACCCTCAATTTCACATTATGATTATTGTTTAATAAATGCTTGCAAGACACGTTAGTAAAAAAAAAAAAAATCAGCTTATTCACAAATTAAGCCCAAACCCGGGCTAGTTTGAGTCATGCAAGTGGGCACTAGTTAGACTCGTGCTAAGTTGGGCAGACTTGTGTGTTCAACATTGAGTCGTCGAGTTTGTGTGAATCTCTTCATCCTACATTAAAAAGAAAAGTGTTGGCATCATTGTGTTTAAAACCAAGTCACAAGCCTCTCTTCCCCCATTTAATTTCTTCCTCTGTTTTCTTTGTGTCACACGACGCCTAAGGCTCCACATCTCCATCCATTCTCTTCCACATTGCATAGCATCTAAGACTTCGCATTGCACATTTTCTAGGACACTGTGTCTCCTTTCGGTCTCCCTTGTACGCATTTCTTCCTCTGCATTTTGTTTTGTGTGACTCTTTTCATTCGATGGATTTTGGAATTTTAGTTCAATTTTTTTTCAAGATTAGTTGCTTGCTGCTGAAATTATAAAATGTCTGGAAGTGGTTCAAATTCTTTTGATGTCAATGTAGCTGCATTGTCACTTGCTAAAAGTAAAAATGTTGCAAAAATTATGAACTTGTTTGGAAAATCATTAATGAGAGGTGAGATAATTAGCTTCAAGGCCTTTGCATATAGCTGCCTATTATCTTATGTCTTACTTCCATTATGAACCTAATTTTATAAATGACAATCATGAGCTGAAAGAGGGATAGTACATTGCAACTAGACTTTCTTATACTAAAGAACCTTTTTCTATGAAAAATATAAAAGATTATAAGAAAACTATGTTTCTTGGAGAATAGTGGAAGATGTTTGCGGATGGAACTCCAAAGTTGAAGAGATTTGCTATTTGAATTTTGAGCTTGAATTGTAACTCTTTGGGGTGTGGGTGTAAAAGGAGCTCATTCGAAATAGTAATTCATAAAACAAAAACAAAAAATTGTTAGCTTGAGAAAAAAATGATGTGCTTTATGTGATGTATAACATAAAATTGAAAAATAAACAAATTAGAAAATATCATTACTCTCCTATTTGGTGAAAATGAGTAAGATAATGAATGGATAGTTGAAAAGGGAGAAAATGTTTAGATTGAGCAAGCTCAAGTGGAAGGTGATGATAAAAATGTTGACTTAGCAGGAGCATGTTCAACTGATCCAACTCTAGATGCACTTAATCTTAATAATATAGTGTTATATGCCGATATTGATGCACACTTTTAATTTGAGGACGAGCCAAATAGTGACAAAGATGATGCCATTATAGGATTGGATTGAGGCATAGAAAATTGAAGACATTTATCACTTTTTTAAGTTATTTATTTGGTGTAGTTTTAACTTATATAGTAGTCAGCATGCACTACTAAACTTAATTATTTTAGTATTGTGAAATTATTGTTTACTATTATGCTTAATTATGTTGGGATGTTATTTACTGATATTACAATTATTTTTCACATGAAATAGACTCTTACCATTATACGAATGGAGTCTACACAGTTCCCACCAATTGAGTCTCAAAAACTCCCACTAGTCAAGTCTATGGAGCTCTCACTGATCTACATAAACTCTCAAGTATAAATTCTTGAGTCATACAATATTTTAAATCTACTAGAAATGATTAAAGGCCATAGCTTTTACTCAGTTGGCACCTATTGACCTCCCGTACTCCCTTAAAAATTTAGATGGAAGCCTTGTTGGTTTGAACATTTACATATTCCTCATTTTTCTATCTTCCATCATTCATTCCTTACTAATGATAAAAGGTAGCACAGCACATTCATTGTAGAAGCAATAAATTTCCAATTCCACCCTTTCTAAGCCTTACATGTTAACAATTCAAGTTCTAATGCATGGATAAATACTAGCCGAAAAAAGGAAACTGAAAACAAAGTGAAATAAAGGTAATGAAATGCAATACCTTTAGCTTGGATGCTGATGCCCGTGTGTACTTGGCTTTGCCACTTGATGAAGTGTCTCCATTCTCATTTTCAAATGACGTTTCAGCTCTAGATCTCTGGATTTTTCTCTTAGGCAAGACATCATCATTGACATCATCATCAGAGGATGATTGTTCAGATGAACTTTGTACTATATTTTTAGGAGAGGCAGGGGATTGGGCACGAATATGTACACTATATTTTTCTGTTTGTTTTGTTATCCGTTTCTGATTTGATTGTGAATGCAATTTGTCTGATGTCAATGGGGTCACCTTGCCATCCATGGTAGAATGTTTCCTTTTTGATTGTGATGATTCTGGAACATATTCAGGACCTGTCTCTACAAAATAAGATTCATTTGTAGAATATCATATGGTCATCCACAATATTATTTCAGTCACTGAACAAACATCATAGTATCAAACAACAGTCATGCCTCGCATGGTACCTTTCTCAGCAGAATCTCTGATTTGTGTTTTATTTCGATTGGAAGCATAACCAATTTTATGGCAGTTAGTGCTCCTAAATAAAATAGACATATAGCAAATAAGTAAATTATATACAATTCATATTATACACAAGCCATAATCATGAATAATAGTCCAATGGAGAATAAATAATCACCAGTATTTTTTCTGCATTTGTACTAATTTAGACTCCAGTCTTGATAAAACTAATGTACGCTCAAAGCCTTGTTTATCATGAGCAGGTTCAACAAAATTGGCTTCCAAGACACCTGCAAATACAAATGAACCTTATATTAAATGAATTCGGTAGACTTGATAAAAAGGGCACTCAATGAACATTGAAAAGGTTTCCACCTATGACTCCACGCCCTCCACTTCCAGCTGGATTCCAGATCCTCCAGAAAGGCTAACAATCAAGAAAACAACCTTTAAGAATTATCACAATATTTTTGGATCCCACAAACAAATAGAACAACTCTCCCAAGTGGCAAAGTCCATATTGATTGTTTTATCATGGAACCGCTTATGATTGGTAGAAAGGATATCTAGAGTTCTTCACTTGACATGCAAGTTCAATGAACAATATTTTAATTTAAATCAAAATAAAATCCTTACATCAAGGCCAATTTTGGAACAGATTAAGCAAGATTGTTTCAAAACAGTACAATATACACAGCATATTTTACACCTTCACAGCCTGGGGATAAATTCCAAACTTTCTCCTTTTAGTAAGAGGATACAATTACTTGGCTACTGTTGCTATTCCTAGCTTACTGATAGGTGCACAACTGTTAATTAGCCATCCAGCTGGTTATTAGGTTAGCAGCCAGTTATAAATGGCTCCTTTTAACTTGCCGAGGTTCTGAAGCTATACATAGCACATTTAACAGAAACATTTATATCAGTACACGCATTCTAATTTCTCTGAAATTCTCTCATAATTTCTAAGGATGAAATAAGGAAAACAAAAGGGTGACATTAGGTAAATAAATTAATAAAATATAATAAAAATAATCCTATTTATTGTGTTTTTATGTAGCATGCAATAACAAAGTATACGTCAAATGGCCAACTAAAAAGTCATGGATTTTAAAATCAAGAAACCCATGTTAACAACTTAAAAAAAAAATATTCATTATCTCAAAATCACTGTGCCCACGGAAACTTTGAAAGGGAGAAAGGAGGGTAAGCTTCACATATGACATTCTAATGCTTATATCATTTGTTAATCATAATAAAACCCTACCTTGATGAGTCGATTCTTATGATAAACATTAAAACCCGAAACATCAACATGGTGAACTGCATCCTTGACAAACCCAATAGTAACAACAGCAACCATCTGTCACAAGTATCTAGATGAAATCATGTTTCTGTACAAGTTGGAAATATCAAACACAATGTAATAGACATTACATTTGAATCCTTTGGAAGAAGCCCATCAACTCCAGCTTGAGGCCTGTAGGTCACTTCCTGAGACATCATCATATCATTCACAATGTTGTGATGTAAAATATCTTTCCCACGAAGAATAATTCGGAAGCTAGAAGGAAGTCTCAGATATAAAATTGAAGCATAACTCTGGATAGGAAACAAAAATAATAATAAGTATGAGGATAACACACCACATAAATAAGAAACATGATTATACTAAATATAGAATAAAACTAAGGTGTTTGGAGGTGAATAAATGGCAAAATAAATGGAGGTAAAGCATGGAAATATGAGGGAACAGCAAAAGTGACTTCATTTTTATATATTAAATAGGGTTGGAAAAAAATAAAAGGCCGGTGGTCCCTCTCAATTTTATTTCCATGCAAAAATGGTGAGAAATGGAGAAGAAATGCACAATAGTTCTACCTAATTACATTTTGTTCTACCTAATTACATTTTGTTCCTTATTAACCTAGCTCATAATCAGTTATTTCATCTTAAAATCAACTTTGCAGGCATAATCAAACAAGACAGAGGCCAAATGCAATATAATTGGCTGAGCAAGTGGCCTTAATTTAATTTCTTATTTCTCTCTTTCCTTTTTCTCTTAATATTCATAATCAATTATTATATGGAAAAAGTCGATTATCTGGCAATCCTTAACTTAATTTCTTATTTCTCTCTTTCCTTTTTCTCTTAAACCAAACACCCTCGGTCTCCACTTTATTTCTCACTTATTCACTATTTTTCTCTTCCTTATTTCCATCGAACACTATTCTCACCAATTTCTTTCCTTTCTACCACGCAAACACTAAGTTAAATATTACATATACAGTGACTCTGGAACAAAAGGCAAAAAACAGACATATCTGCTGTTTTTCTACTCAAATAATAGTAATAATAATCATCTTGATTTACCCTTAAAGAATGTCGATAGGTCAAGAAATGTCGAGAATTGGGAAACTCTTTTGACATCTGTATGTTTTTCTCATCTCGATTTACACCTCTTATTTGGATATCCTGACAACCATAAAAGCATCAAAATTTGTATGAAATTTGTTTATAGAAAGAATATCTCTTTTATGAGTGTCAATGATGAGTTTCAGATATCAAGCATACATGTGGGTCTGCATCAAAATCAAGCTCCAGCTGACCTTGGTCATCCTCCCAAAGATTGTATATAATTACTCGTGTACCATGATCTTTCACCAAGTTGAACTAAAAATTAAAACAATGACAGTTTATCAATATAGTGATATAGCACCAAGAAGAGCAGTCGTCAGAAAAGAAAAAGATCAGATTAATTACTCCCTTCAAATTACCTGACGAAGAAGATCAGCCTCATTAGAAAATGGTGACCACTGAACCATTGTTTCAACATTTTTATTCCAATCATCCAGAGACGTTCGTATTATCTTATTCCATTGCTGTCCTCTTCTTTCATAGTCCAGCTTTAGTTTCAGTATAAACAATTGTTAGATGCATAATTAAAAGAACATATTCCCACAATCAAATTAAATAATTCATGCAGTCCACAAACATCCCGACACTAAAAAATAATTCATTCAGTCCACAAATATCCTGACCCTATCCCATGTTTTGCAATCATGAATAATGTTTTCAAAATCCAGTGGTACTCACAGCAGAAAATTCAGATATATAATTATTTCAGGATTGTTCCAATAATGGTAAAGGTTTAAGATGTCATGTATATCGAGACTATGGGAGTTCAGCCATCTTCAAGCAGACAAATTACATCACTGTATCTGAGTATTCCAATATTTAGTATAAATGCCTATTATATACCACAAAAGAGGCTTTTGTGGCTCACAGACAAGAATATGTAAGAATATAAATATTTTAGTTACATTTCTAATAATAATATATAGTCAAAAAACAAAAAAACAACAAGTAAAGAAAACAATTTACCATGGGTACTACAATGTCTTCCTTCCCTGTACTCCTCAAAAATGTGTAAGACAGCAAACCTATGCTTTGGGTAGAGCTGATAAAACATCCAAATCACCCCATTAGATATATGTCTTGAAAGACAGAAATTTAGATGAACATCAGAGACAAAGTTGTAAAATTCAAAAGTTTATGTAAACTAGTGAAGGCTTCATAACATAAACTTGTAAGAGTTTACATTTTTTTGTCTACTACTACTAGTAATATTAGTTTATCACATTATATATTATGTTTTTAAATAGTTTTCTATATTTGTTAATATTGTAGTTTTATCATTATTCTTTAGTTGATTATATTTTATGTTAACATAAAAAAGCAAGTTGTTGGACTTGATTTGAGGCACAATAATCCAAAATAGCCGAGAGGAGACAAAAAACTAAAACCCTATTATGACCCAACCTACATTCTATCAAACAAACAAAAGAAAGAAAATGGGATAGTAGCAGCAGAGGCTGTCCAGGACAAAACAAAGGAGAATGTCTAAGATACAAAATGGAGCTGAGAAGACACCAGCAGAGAAATTTTAATGTGATAGGACAACACAACGGCAACACCCAAAATGGACAAAAGCTTGCCAGAGAGTAGTGAAGACAAAATTGTTACATAGGAGCAACTGAGTTTGCTATGTAGACTCTAAACTTGTTACACATCCAAAATTGTTACACCCAGAAACAAACACATCCAATGTTGTTTATGTTTTTTTCTAATGTCCAACTGAGTTTGCTATGTAGACTCTAAACTTGAGATTTTATGAGTGAGTTTGCATGAGCCTACTCAAAAACAATTCTACATGCAAGTTAAACAGGTTCAACAGTGTGGGATCATAAACTTGTCTAAGTTTACAGGTTGATCACAGGCAATAGACATGGATGCAAGATAAATTCACCTCAAGCATAATATCAACACTGAATGTTAATAAGGTCAATTCTACAATTACTGATTGTGACAGGAATATACCATGTAGCCTAAAATACTAATGTACATTTATTTCCCTGAAACAAAAAATCAAACTCCAGCAAAAAAGGAAAACTTCATATGGGTGCATTTTAAGCAGCACACTTAATTTAAACATGCTCCTCAGGACCTCAACTACAGAAACGTCATCAACCTAAATTCACAAATGCTAATGATAAACAGATCGTTTAGCATTTTAATGTAATAACCTTGCGTAATAAAAGAAGAAAATACTATCACATAACTGCAATAGCAAAATAACCTTACATTCCACAGCTATTATTAAATACAGTAAAAGGTAATAATAAACAATTGTCCATGAAAACTGTTAATTATTTTTCCTTTTAACTGCATAATGTTTAATTTTTGTCCTTATTTGTTACTGTTTCAGATTTAAATAGTTTATTGATTTAGTCAACAAGTGATTCCCACACTCTAGGAGTAAGCTAGTACATGCTTTGCAGGGACAAGAGATGCGAAGGTTGGTAAGAACAGAACGCGCTGCCAAAAATGCATTACCAACAGAGAGCCAGAAAGTTAGAAAAAAAGTGCCCACCATGTAAGCACTGTGGCAAAATTGCTCACCCTCCATTCAAGTGTTGGAGGAGACTAGATGCAAAATGCAGTAAATGCAATTAGTTGGATCAAAAAGTTGTTATATGAAAAGAAAAAAAATCAACAGCAAGAAGCATAAGCTTGAGTTTTAAATCACTAAGAGGAGAATTACTTTTTTTTTTGCTACATGCTTATCTAGCATTGAATCAAGTGATAATTGGCTTATTGACAGTAGATGTACTGATCACATGAACAACAACAAGGATTTATTCAAAGAACTAAGCAGTGAAAGCACATCCAAGGTTCGAAGTGGAAATGACATTTAAATTACATCATTGTGAATGGAAAAGGATTGGTAGCAATTCCAACCTACTTAGGTACCAAGCTCATTTCTGATGTATTGTATGTTTCTCAAATTTATCAAAATTTGTTGAATGTTGGTTAGTTGAGAAAGGTTATAAGCTTTTGTTTGAAAACTAGAGTTGCTAGATTAAAGACACAAATAACAAAGATATTCTCAAAGTAAAAATGAAAGGAAATTTTTTTGCTTTAAATTCATCAGAAGAGGAGCAAATTGATTCTCCAATAAAAGATCATAGCATTGAAATGTTGCAGAGGAAATTGATGAAGATCAAGCTAGTTATGGAATAGCAACCCTCACTTCCAGGAATGGTGCTGCTGAAGCAAGGTTGGCAACAGCAAAGGAACGAGAAATCTACTTTAGAGAAAATAGCTTTTGTACAAGAGCATATATAATTGATGGAGAAAGTTGTAAAAATTAAGCATGGTGACAAGTATTTAAAGCTTATGCCCAATCGAATGAGAAGGAAGATATAGTAATTTAGCAAGACAATGCTCATTTAGAACAAAAGTGCAAATTGTTGATATCTACACCAAATCACAATAAATCAGCAAGTTAGCAAGTTTGAGCTTTTAAGACAGGAGATTGGAGTTGGCAGATCCTAAAATAAGGAGGAATGTTAATTATATGCTTTTGAATTGCATAATGTTTAAATTTTATTTTTATTTGTTACTGTTTCAGATTTGAATATTTTATTGATTTAGTCAATAAGTAGTACCTACACTTTAAGAATAAGTTATTGCATTTTATCTAACTTGGCTGAAATATTAGTGCTTACTGATATTCTGTTTTCTTTTAAGTATTACAAATGTAACATTGGCTCATGAACAAAATTGAATTCCCTATTGTCTTCTTCTAAGATTAAATATATTATTCTCTCGACTGTTATGTTTTTTATTGAATCTTTTCTGCCATAAAGCAAAAAAAACAAGCATTACAAGTCCAACAAATACTAAATCTCAACTAGATTGTCTTAAAAAAGTTCTCCCTATATGCAAAACACAACTCAAACTAGGAAAGAAATTTAAATGAACCAATAAGAGAGGAAAACAAACCTTTTGTCATCTTTCCCAGGATAACGGGAGAAAACAATTACATCAGCCCCTAGCCTCATGGTACTAGTTTTAAAGCCATTTCCATCTATCACATGAACACAAAAGATAAGTATTCTGTCTTGACTAGAATATTCAACAAGATTCATATTCTACCCTAGAGTAAAGGTTTACATTGTCCAATTGTGTTTGCCAATTTGCTTTTCGCAGAATACCCCAGTGACATGCATTGACGCATTTTATCAGGATCCATGCCACCACCATTATCTGAAATAAATATTGATGATTGAACATAATGAATTTTTGACAACAAAAAGAAAACAAGAGTGGTAAAAAGATGTGAGTGCATATACCACTTCTATTATGTTCCTATCATGTCAAATAATAAATTTTAGTTTTCAGTGTGGATGGCAAAATAACACATTTGGTAGCATCAAATTAACTTCTTTTCGATTTCTCTTATTATGCTAACCATCACAACATGTTTTTGGTTGTGATCTGATTGGTGTCAATGAACTAAGGAGTTGAAGTGGTTTGAAATGATCTCAATTTGAAAGTTACCTATCAAATTAAATTAGTTTAAGGGTCTGTTTGTGTGGTGGTGCCCAAGCTTATCAAACTCAAATTAACTCAAACACTTATGAGTTTACTATCCAAGGTAGAGGAAACTATCAAACTCTTTTCTGAGTAAATTCTTTAAACCTGCATGAACTCTACAGTCAATGTTTTTAGAACGTGGAATAAAACTTAATTCAATTATATAAAAACTAGTTTGTAAAGTAAAGTTTGCACTCACTTTATATACTTTATTTTTGGCATATTTCTAGACAATATGTGGATCTCCAACACACTCCTTGCCACTTAGGATTGAACATCTTGAGTGTGGGACTAGATATTTGTGGGTTGCCTGATAGCAAGTGGCACGATTGGAAAAACAAACTTTACTAGGATAGACTCTAAAGCCGTCTTAAAAAGTGGAATAAATCATAAGTTAACCCTACAAAATCTGCAGGTAATGTGAAGTTTGCACTCACTTATATATTTTATTTTAATCATATCTCTAGACAATGAGGGATATCAAACACAATGTAACATTTGTCCTTCGTTGACCTTATGGTGACATTATTTTATCAGAACTCAAACTATTTGAGAAATTAGATCCCATTTGACATATTTTAACTTTTGGATCTTATGTTTTTAAGAATTTTTATATGATTAGGTAATTTGTGTAAGTTTAATCTTATTTAGCACTAATTTATCATCATTCATACTTTATTATTGTGGTTTGCTATTTTTCTTTGTTATGAAGTTGAAAAGTTCAATGATTATTGCGATAAAATTATTGTTAAGCATTTATGTCATGATAGATTTCTTAATATTATTTTTATATTACAAGATTATGCATCAAGTCTATTAATTTTCCTGCAAAAGTTTCACAAGTTTATGGCAGTTGCAATGGTAGCAATGACAGGATGGACCATTATCAAATGTAAGGAGAGTGTGTTGATTTAAATCTACAAACCATATTCACAAATATTTTTTTCTTGATTTTGGAAATGAAATGAAAGTGTTTTGAAACTAAGTTAATTGTGTCCATTCTAGCCAAAACATTTTATTTTGAAAAATGCATTCGAAAAACAAAAACTTGCAACCACCCAAAATGGACCCGGAAGTGATAATGTTACCAGTTTTGGCCTTTGAAAGTCATAGGCGATGTATTTGATGTTTCAAGTATTTGAATGTTTTGATGGACTAATTAAAGGATATTAATTATGGTTATGGATATTGTTAAGGTTCCAACATAAAACCAATTGACAATATGTGGAGTAACCTACCATGTATTTAAATCATACTAAATGACATGAGGTAGGCGATGTGGTACTTCCAACACACCCCCTCCAATGAAACATGCCGGACCAGGCAAAGGGTACTTCTGACCCAACAAAAGGACAACTTTTGGCCTAAGACAATAACCAGAAAGGTATTAGGCTTTAGCTCTAATACCATGTTAAGGTTCCAACATAAAACCAATTGACAATATGTGGAGTAGCCTAACATGTATTTAAACCATACCAAATGACATGAGGTAGGTAATGTGAGACTTCCAACATATATGCTTTAGGGTTTTTTTTTATTTGGTAGGTTGACCCATCGATCACCTTTTTATGACCCTTATGGATAGTTAACCCAACCTAAACTTACTTAGGGTTGTTGGAATTTTGAAAATGGGTTGAACCCATTTTGTCAGAATGGAAAAAAGATGCAGTGCTATTTGTACCTTAGATGTCAACTTAAAGAAATAAAATATTATTGATGAAATAGTAGTGGGCTATATTTAAAGGAATAGGAATATATTTTCTAAATTACCAAATCCATTTCTATCATGCAGTTCATTGAGACAAGTTGGGTACCAGCAAAATTAAAAGTTATGCAAGAATTTCTTAACAGAACAGAAATATAAATTAAGACTTGTTTTCTTCAACGAGGAATAAAAGCCACATATTCTACAAAATCCTACAGGATATTCTTGCATGCTCAACTTCCTTTTGTTTTATTACCAAAATCAATCATCATAGCTAAGAATATGTGCTTCATTTTTCCTTCCATATATTTATTAAGTAAAAATTTATTACTGAAAATACCTTCAATCAGCAACATCCTCGAGCTGTCTTTCTTATTTATAAGCATATCTACATTAACATACGTGGCCCCATTACAAACCTGAAGTCAAATTCAAAAAGTAAGGCAGGGAAATCATCACAAGTGGTGCTTTAAGGAAGGGATGTAAAGCAAGGCATACCTCATCCAATGAATTGTCCAAAAGCTCGGCAAAAGCTACAGAAACATAACCAATCTAAGTATGCTAAATAATAATAAATCTCCAAGGATAAAGGGAAGGGAAACAAAAATTCATTTAATATACAAATAATGATTATCCATTGATACAAATTTGCTCATTTCCCACTTTACCTCCTAGAGCCCACTTATGGCTGGTGGCATTAGAGTGCAAAAACTTGGGGTGAACTCTGACATGATCCATACCAACTGCAGATTTTAGAAGAAATATTAGGTTGCAGTTACATTGTCAACAACACTGGCTAACTAAAAGAAACTCTTTTTTGTGACACTTAGACTAAGAAAAGGGCAAATATATATCGATAACAATGAACTTATTTAATTTATTTAGTGCATAACAAAGAAAGTTCAAAAAAGGTTGTTTGTTTCACTCAGGTGGGTTCTTCATCACAAGTATTAAGACTCCGGAAAAGAATAATGCTTGCGTGGGTTATAACCATGCTATGTGTGATGAAGTAACTACATTACCAAAAACTCCACGAGGTATGGCTAAGGATTTTGCTATAAGGATGGGATTACATCACGGCCAGCTTTTAGCCCTTACCTATTTAAATTAGTACCGGTGTAGGGACATTCAAAAAATTATCCCTAATTGCATTTTTTTGTGGACGGCATAGGTTAACTCTAAACTTGAACTTTGGAGACAGACTTGAGAACCAAAGGGTTTTCATAAGTAGGCAGAAAGCAAGAAGTTAAAATAGGAACCAAAGTTCCACAGGTTTCTAAATTTATTTGGGTTCAACACTACAAATCACGGGGAAATTTATGAAATGTTACACCTCATCTAAACATCCAGAAAACATTCCAAGAATCTGTCAATCATTTTAATTTTAAACATTTCATGTGTTAGAAATATCAAGTATGTGGCCAAATCTTTAAGTTAATAAGCATCCTTAGAAACTAGTGGAAAAACAGGCATTATGTATCCTCATTGTTTACATAGTTGGCGTGATTTTCAATTCAATAACTGGCAGAAGGCGTTGAAATAGAATATCAATGGAATGGTTCGCAACTGCCGTTAAATAAAAAAATTAAAACTAATGAAAATCAAATAAGAACTTTGGCTTTTATCATTGTTAGTTTCCTATAATAAAAATAGCAACAGCTGTTAAGCTGTTAGGCTGACAGTCAGCAACAACTGTTAAGCAATTAGGCTAAACAGTTGGTTAGATAGCTATTAAAGAAGACCACGTCAAACTGGATGGGGCACCACTTTTCATTCAATTGTATTCTCTCTTATAATTCTTTCTTAATAACATTCTCAGGACCTTCATTCCTTGGTTCCCAATTTTCTGTAATTCTTCGAGTGAGTCAATTCCTAGAATTACTTTTATCGCATCAATTGGTATCAGCCAGGTTGGTCCTTGTCCACCACCTTCTTCATGGCAGATTCCACACGAAGTGCTACGCAATGAAGGAGTTGGAAGAAAAATTGGCATCACGTTTGGAGAACGTTTGGCAGGATCTATACAAAATAATTTGGGTACTACTATGCAATAAACCTTGCAAAAGAAACGTAGAGGCTACAAGGTCGAGGACAAGAACGGATCAACGTACGTATTCTTGCGGCACACGTTTAGCAAGAATTGACTTTCCCCGTTTTAATGGTGATAATGTTCACCAATGGCTTTATCAATGTCACAATTTTTTTCTCATTGATAACACTCCTGACGAGACTAAAGTTAAGCTAGTGGTTGTCCATATGGAGGGACGTGCACTCCAGTGGCATTCGGCAATTTCCAAAACAACCAACTGAACCGTTTGGTCTTGGAAAGAATACCAACAGTGAGTTCTTGAGCGATTTGGAGACGTGGGTGCTAACCCAATGGCCGATTTGATGAAGTTGCGCCAAAAAAAGTTGGTGGTGGAATATTATGAGGAGTTTGACACCATTATTAACCGATTGAGTCTATCAGAAGAATACTCCCTAAGTTGTTTTTTGGGAGATCTCAAGAAAGATACGCAGATGATGGTTCGTATGTTCCAGCCCACTACGGTCCACAAGGCTTTTTCGCTAGCGATATTATATGAGGCAAGTAACTTTTCAAGCTTGACAATTCCAATTGGCAATTGACAGCACCAGGGGGTGTTAGGCCCCAAACCATCAAACTTGGACAAGATTGTTTCAATGGTTGAAGACAAGAATATGTTGAAATTGGTACTGGGTAAACGTTTAACTCCAGCTTACATGAATAAACATAGAGTAAAAGGTTTATGCTACTTCTGTGATACTCCATATTCCCCCGAACATGGGTTAACACACAAGAAACTACGACTTTACGTGTTGGATGCTTCCGAGGAGGAACGACAAGAGGAGAAAAAAATAGGGCCAGTGGATGAGCCTCGTATTTTTGTTAATGCGCTAACAGGTATAGCTAGTTTTCAAACAATGCGGGTTATAGGTTTCTATCACAAGAAACCATTGCACATCCTTATTGATAGTGGATGTACACACAATTTCTTGGATATTCAGGTTGCCAAGAGATATGGTTGTAAAATTGAGGCAATGGATTGTCTAAATGTGGCGGTGGCCGATGGTTCCAAGATTCAAATAGCTTTAATGGTGAAAGATTTTTCTTTCACTATTCAACAAACCATGTTTAAAACAAATATGTTTTTAATTCCCTTAGGCTGTTGTCATGTTGTCCTAGGCATTGAATGGTTAGTTACTCTAGGGGATATCACTTGGAACTTTAATCATTTGACTATGGGCTTCAAGATTCATGGAAGAAAACATGTCTTACGCGGCTCTTCTTCTAGGGGGTTGAAAACGACTAAAAAGCAGCATTTTCAAAAGACTCTGGATGAAGGTGTGCATATCTCCATGTTGCATGTAGGAGAAGAAGAAGGTGTTTTATTACAAGCACTAACTACACACGCCACTCCGTTGCCAGTAGCAGAAGAAGTAACTCAATTGTTACAAGAATTTGACGATGTTTTTGCAAAACCAACTCAGCTACCTCCTTTTCGGCCAGGTCATGATCATCAATTACCCCTTGTGCAAGGAACCAACCCGATTAATATAAGGCCTTACAGATATGCGAAAAACCAGAAGGATATCTTGGATAAGTTGATTCAGGAATATTTGCAATCCAGTATAATTCGAAGTAGCACCAGCCCGTATGCCAGTCCTTTGGTGTTGGTCAGTGAGAAGGATGAGACTTGGAGGATGTGTGTAGATTACAGGGAGTTAAACAAAAAAACAGTGAAGAACAAATTCTAATTCCCTTGGTTGAAGATTTATTGGATGAATTATATGGCTCAACAATCTTTTCTAAGATTGATCTCAGATTGATCTCAGATTTGGGTATAATCAAGGTCGAATGGATTCCGCAGATGTGCACAAAATAGTTTTTAGTACTCATGGGGACCACTACGAGTACGTGGTAATGCCATTTGAGCTTACCAACACGCCTGCAACTTTTCAAGGTCTAATGAATGCCATCTTCCAATAATTTTTGAGAAAATTTTTGCTAGTTTTCTTCAACGACATTCTTATATATAGTGAGAATTTGCAACAACATTACACCATCTAAGGATGGTTTTATTGACATTAAGAAGGAACCACTTGTTTGCTAGGTGTTCTAAATGTTACTTTATTGTGGAGAAAGTGGAATACCTGGGTCATTTCATATCTGGAGAAGGAGTAATCACTGACCTTGGAAAAATTGAAGCAATGGTGCAATGGCCCTTGCCAAAGACCATTAAGCAGCTAAGAGGATTCTTGGGACTGGCAGGGTACTATCAACAGTTTGTTAAAGGGCATGGAATAATAGCTAAGCCCCGTACTAACATGCTAAAAAAGGATAACTTTAGGTGGACCGATGAAGTGAAAGCAACATTTCAGGAATTAAAAATATTACTTAGTGATACGCTTGCTCTAGCATTACCAGATTTTGCTAAAGAATTTGTGGTGGAAGTTGATGCATCCGAAGGGGGAATTGGAGTTGTGTTCATACAAGACCATCATCCTATAGCTTACATCAGTAGGATATTAAATTTACAGCAACAATCTCTACCTACATATGAGAAAGAACTATTGGTCGTGGTTTTTGCAGTGCATAAGTGGAGACATTATCTGCTTAATCGACACTTTGTGATGAAGACAGATCATGACAACCTCAAATTTATCCTGAACCAGAGATTAACTACAAATTTTCAGCAGAAGTGGTTAATCAAGTTTGATTTCAAAATAAAAGACAAGAAGGGACAAGAAAATGTGGTTGCGGATGCGCTCTCAAGGAGGCCTTTGGTGGAGTGTAATCAATTAATAAGGCAACAATTCCATTCGGATTTGGTTAACATAATTCATCAATCTTGGCAGCAAGATGAGAGTTTGCAAAAATTGATTAAGGAAGTCCAAAATGCTCAAGGTTCACATAAACATTATAGATGGGTGAATGAGGAGTTGAGAAGAAAGGAAAAACTGGTTGTAGGGAGGGATCCACAACTTAAGAAAGAGTTGCTTTAGTGGTTACATGTGTCGGCCACAGGGGGCCATTCAAGAATAAATGCTACCATGGGAAGAGTAAAAGCTATAGTGTACTGGAAGGGGTTAATGAATGATGTCAAAACATTCATCCAACAATGTTCTACATGCCAACAGTGTAAAAATGAAACTGTAGCTACCCCAGGATTGTTGCAGCCTTTACCTGTAACAGATCATATTTGGCAGCATATTACAATGGATTTTGTTGAAGGACTACCTAACTCAGAGGGAAGAGAAGTCATATTTGTGGTGGTAGATAGGTTGAGTAAAGCAGCTCATTTCATAGCTTTGACTCACCCTTATACAGCAAGCGACGTAGCTCAAACTTTTATGGACAATGTATTTAAGTTTATGGACAATGTATTTAAGTTGCACGGGTGTTCAGACTCTATTACAAGTGATAGGGATCCTATATTTGTAAGCCAGTTTTGGCAAGAATTTATGGTTGTCAAGGAGTTTAAATTATTCTCTCAACTAGTTATCATCCACAGACATATGGGCAGTGGAGGGGGTGAACAAGTGCTTAGAGACTTAGCTCAGATGTATGTGTGTTGTGGTTTAGATGGTTACCCATGGCTGAAAGGTGGTATAATATTTCTTATCATACAACAACCAAAGCCACTTCTTATGAGATTGTTTAAGGGCAGCCGGCCCCTATACATCTTCCTTACCTTCCCTTCCAGGAGAATCAAATGTTGAATTAGTGGATAGAAGTTTGATGAAAAGAGAAGAGATGTTAAAGATAATTAAGTTTCATCTAAGAAGGGCGCAAGAGAGGATGACACAGTTGATTGACAAACACAGAACCGACAAAAAATACAACATTGGAGACCTGGTCTATGTAAAACTGCATCCATATAGGCAAATATCAGTTGCCTTCAGGAAAAATGCAAAGTTGAGTCCTAAGTATTTTGGACCGTATAAAATCATTGATTGTATTGGAGTTGTAGCTTATAAACTAGATTTAGGGGGCAGTCCATGATTCAGAATGTGTTCCGCATTTCACAACTTAAGAAATGTGTGGGAGAGATCTTGACTTCCACACAATAAGGCGGAAGATGCATTAGAAGAAAAGGAACCAGATTACATTTTGGACAGAATGACTGTCAAGAGGAAGGGAGCACCTGCAACCAAGGTTCTTATGAAATGGAAACATCAACTTCTAGAAGATGCTACATGGGAGTTCTACTATGATCTAAATAAAAATATCCAATGTTCCTTGAGGACAAGGATTTCTAGAGAGGGGCTTTGTTATAATTAAAACAACACTGTTAATCGGTTAGGCTGACAGTGTTGTTGAGCTCAGCAACAAGTGTCAAGCAGTTAGGCTTAGGCTGTTGGTTAGATCGCTATTAAAGAAGGGCACGTCAAACTGGACGGGGCACCGCTTTTCATTCAATTTTAACATCTCTTATAATTCTTTCCTAATAACATTCTCGGGACCTTCATTCCTTGGTTCCATATCTTCCTATTTTCTGTAATACTTCGAGTGAGTCAATTCCTAGAATTACTTTTATAGCATCATAGTTACAGATTAAAGACTAACACTAAAAAATACGAAACGTAAAAAAAAAAATCCAAAACACAACAACTCTCACAGTAAGTAACGGTTTATAATTTCATATAAGATAGACAAGAAAAATAAAAACACACCTGTTGAAGATCCAAAGCCATCGCAAGGAGCACCATCGTAATCTCCAGCCTTCCAGAACTGCTTGCTGCTATTCGCTCCCGAACTCATACACACGTTGGACCGCGATGCCGAATTAGAAGCCCATTCCGGCGGCGGCAAGCTCATCAGCGGCGCCGGTGGAGACGCCGGAGCAGGAGGGAGAGGGCTGAGAAATCCAACCGGCAAAATCATTCCGCCGTCACCTGTCCTTTGCTTCTTCGACGAACTTCCTCCGTTTTGCAGGGCGCTGGCGACTACACTATCCAAATCAACGTCGTTCTCGGAATCGCTGTCGCTGCTGCTGCTGCTGCTGCTGAGTTCGATGACCGAGCTAGGAGGAGGCACCGAAACGGCGCCGTTTCGCGGCTTCCTTTCGATGGGAGTCTCCAACACTTCCTCTTTTACGCAAACATCCATTGGCTTGAACGGACGAAGAAGAAGAATATTAAAAAAACTCGGTTACACGCAAAATATATGAATTATAACAAGAGGGAAGAGCGAAATATGTTTGTTGTGCGGGTTTGAAAATTGAAGATGAAAGTGAAAAAAAGAAGAAGAATCAAGTGAGGGTGACGGAAACGGTTGAGCGAAAAGGGGATTTCTATCTCTGCGTCCTGTATAGAGGCTAAAAGAGGAGGAGGAGGAAAAGACGGAACTCGGCGCTTGCTCCTTCGGAATCGAGGAAAAAAGTATGGTTGCACCACCCGCATTATTTCTTTAAAATACTGCTTGCGAGGTCGCATAATTTTTTTTTCTCATTTTTTTAAAATAGGTAAAATTACATTAGCATAATTGAAAATTAGTTTAAACTTGAATCTTAATAAGGTGGTTTAGAATTTTAATTTAAAATTTAGATTATAAATAATAAATGGTTGTGCCTTAAAACAAATGTGTTAATTTTATGTTTAGTTTTAAAAATTAAAGATAAATTATTTTTTAGTCTTTCAAATCTAAAAAAATAATTTTAATCTCTTAAATTTAATAAAATAACTGCAATTAATTTTCATTTTAAGTTAATATTTTTATAATTTTAACTTGGGTCAACAAGAATTGTGATTAAATTTTTCATTTTTTTAGTATTTTAAAATTATTTATTTTTAAAATTAGTTGACTTATTATTAAAAAAATATATAATTACTGACACTTCACTCCTTTTATATACAACATTTTAATTTCAATTTCAATTTAAAATATTAAAATTTAATTTAAATTATTCAAAATAAATATATATATATATATATATATATATTAATTTATTTTATTAGTTTTTATTATTATTTATATAATTTAAATATGTATAACTTTTAAATTTATTTTTTTAAAATATATTTTATATTCATAAATAAAGAATCTCATATGATAAAATATAATTAATATGTTTAATTTAAAATCATATTTGATAACATGTTACATGTTCAACTATTCTAATTATATTTCAATTTTTATATTATTTATTATTTATTTTAAATTGATTTTAATTTATATATATATATATATATATATATTTACACTTTATATTACAAAAAAAATTACATATTTTAGATATTAAATATTTAAATATATTTAGAGGTAATGGATTTGATTTTTGGTGATCCATTAAATAAAAAAAAATTAAAGTCTCTGATAAAGAAAATGTTAAACTTATAATTACAAATTGAATTTTTATTATAATTATTGTGTGATACAATATAATTATATATATATATATATAATAAATACTTTTAAAAATCTTATTTATTAATTAATATTTTGATTAAATAAATTAATAATTTATATATTAAAAAATCTAATTAAAATCAATAATTTAAATATTAAAATATCTAATTATAATTAATAATTTAAAATTATTTATTTATTTATAATTTAAATTATAATATTATTATATATTTACATATTTTAATATTCTAATTTTGATATATAAATATTAACGGGACTAAAATTATCTAAAACTATCCACCATCCATGGAAACAAATTAATGAATTAATTTATTGAATGAAATATAATTTTTCATTCCAATTTCAAAGCTGTCAACAAATATTGTTGTAATATTTAAATTAGTTCTTAATTCTCATTAGGTAACAAATAGATTATTGATGATAAACATCATGTTTTATTCTTCATGCAATTAATTTGCTCTTAGTGCCACCAATAGAGTGAATTGTGCTTTTAAAAACATATTGAACTAAGTTAATGCCTAGTTTTTTAACAAAATAGTGACTTTTGAAAAAAATAATCAAAAGTGAGATATTTTTATGAAATAAATGATAAATAAAATAAAAATATGTATAATTATTATAATGATAAATATTATTCATCTCATTTTTATTATTTTTCATATACTAAAATATTTTATTAAATTTTATCATGACTCACTTAAAGAAATAAAAGAGAAAATTAAAACCGATGACTATTCATCTTGATATTGCTATTTTTTTTTCAATAAGATGAATTAATGATGATGAAAATATTAAAAAATATTTTTTATATTCTTAAATAAAAGATAATGTTATATATTTTAATATTTAGGATGATGTTATAAGTTATTCACCCTTAATATAGTTAATTTTTGTTTAAAATTATTTTAAATTTTTAAATTTTAAATATTTTAAATTTATTCATAATATAAAGGTCCTGATGAAATACATTCAAATATATTGATTTTTTTAATATTGTATATTATTTCTCTTACAATTTTAATATTTGTAAAAAAATTTAAATTGCAAATTTTTTTTTATGTCGACATTTGGAGTAATGCATTAAACTTATAGTCAATGGACACACACGTATTTTATTATAATATATTTTAATACTTTAAATTTATTATCAATAATGATTTAGTTTTTATAACAATTTATATTTAAATAGTATTTTATATTATATTATATATATTAAAAATTTGTTTGTTTACTCATTTAAAATATAGGTGTACCGTCCAAAATGATTGGATCCATTAAGCATGTTTATTGGTTCAAATTTATTAAAGATACTACTTTTATTTGTTTTATTATTAATTATATTTATTCTATTATAATATCTTATATTAGTTATTATTGTACGAGTGTTATTATATTTCAGTTTATTATTATCTTTTTAAATTTAACCAGCTCTTATATTTTGAAATCTAATCACGAAGTATATCTTTTGTCGGTGAGCCTTTGTGCTTTCTTGAATATCGTCTTCAAAGCTGATTCGAAGATCGACCAACCAACTTCAATCTTATCGACTATTTTCAACTCTATAAGATTAATAAGTTATTAGCTTGTAAAGATTAAAATATTTATTTAGTAACTGTTTTGTTAAAATATTTTTGAAAATTGTTTTTTTTTTTAATTCTTAAAATTATGGCTTTTTTTTTCATTTTTGAAATAAAAAATAGATTATTCATTTTCATTATTATAAATTATTAAAATTATTTTTTAATTTGTCATAACTTTTCATAATTATTTGTCATTTTTTTAAAATAATTTTCAAAAATTAAATTATTAAATAAATTTTTTCCAACTTATTTTAAAAAAATTAACAATTAATGTATAAAACTATTTTTGAAAACTAAAAAAATAAAGTTAAAGTAAAAAAATGTTAATACTTTTTATTTATTATTTTAAAATATTTTATTTTATAAGAAATTAATGAAAGAATAATTATATATATACAATATTTTTAATATTAATTTTTTTAATGAACATTAACACTAATTATATTAGGATGTATCTTTTTAATGATGCATTAACTCTTTCATGAGTAACAAATTTTTTTTCTTTTTTTTTCTCTTAGTAAATGAAAAGTCAATGTTAATATTATTTATAATCCTAAAAAAATAATTGAAGGTTGAAAAGAACTATTATAATACTACTAAGAGTAAATAAATTTAATCATTAACAACGTATATTATATTATCTTAAAATTAAAATTGAATTTTATTAATGAAAGAAATATAAAATATATTTTTATTATTAAATTCGTATGATATATATTAATATATTTTTCATTCATCTTTCTTTATATTACATATTTCACAAAAAGAAAATAAATGATATGACTATTAAAAATAAATGATATGACTATTAAAAATAAATAAATTTATTATTATTTTTAATTGATACTAAGTGATGTTGATAAAAAATATATATAATGTGAATTGAAAATTTTAATATTGTAAAGTCTTAATAATGACATAAAAGAATGGTACTCCCTTTCTTTAAAAAGAGTAAGAATTATAACTAAAAAAATAAATTAGTAGGGTGAGATGTGATCACTTAATTTAAATGAGTTAAGAGTATAAATGATATAATGAAAGTAAGTTTGAAGTTTAGTTAAAAAAAATATAAATAAAAATGTTTAAACATTCAAACTTCATTATCATAAAATCATTATCTCTATAACTCTCTTTCATGTCATCTTTCTAAATCTCTTGCTCTATCCCAACACTTTTTAGATTCAAGTACACTTTAGTGCACTTGAAGGAGAAAAAATCAATTTTAGCCTATCATAATTTAAAATAGTGTAAGTTTTTTTTTCCTAATTTTATATCATTTTGTATATTTTAGGTTTAAGTCTACATGTAGGTCCTAAGGGGCTTGCATGTAGACTTTATTATGGAAAGATGAATTTTGATAAGTTAAGACCATTGTAATATGCTTAATTTGTTAATTTGATTTTTTTTGTAAAAAAATCTATTTTGCTAAAAATTTAAGAATTTTTGGTTTTCTTTAACTTAGAGTTACCTTATTGAAATAAGGGAAGTTAGTTATTATGCAAGTCATATAAGATATTTCTATTGAGGCTAGACCAGTTAGGACATATTAGGCAACTCACGAACTAGTCTATTAGCATGGTGAATATATTATGGGATGTTAGGTCAGACAATTCTACTTAAGAGTTGGATTAAAACATGAGAGAATCTTATCCCTACCTTTTCATTGGTAAGTGAATTTACGAAATTTTTTGTTGTTGGGACCCAATTTAAGACTAAGTTTGAAGTTTTACCATTTAAGTTAAAAAGAATTATAAATAGAAAATGTCAAACATTTAAATTCATCATCACAAAATCATCATTTTTCTATAACTTTCTTTGCTCTATTTTCTCTCTAATTTTTTTGCTCAATTTGTCATTTTTTTATAGATCCAAACACACTTTAATGTTTCGAAAGATAAGAGATAAATTCTAGTCGATTCTAGTCGATCAGAATTTTGAATAGATTAAGTTTTTTATTTTCTAATTTTAGACCATTTTGTATATTTTAGGTTTAGATTTACATATGGATCTTAGAGGGTTTCCAAATAGACTTTATAAAACAATGAATATTGACTAATTTAAAAATATTGTAATATCATCATCTTAATTTGAGTTTTTTTGAAAATAAGATTTATTTTCTTAGAAATTTATGAGTTTTTGACCTCTTTTAACTTGATGCACTATATTGAACTAAGGAAAGTTAGTTCCTCTTCCATTTTCATAGTACTCCTTCAGCCCGCTCACTCAAAATCTAGCACCACCTGTAGCCATCGTGGGTTGGCCGAGCCTCCACCACACCTTAGGGATGGCAATTACGGGGAGCGACTCATCCTCGTCCCGAGTTTGACGGAAAAATCGAGTTGACTGGGGGTGGAACTGGTTCGAGTTTTCCCCGCTTTAAAAAGTCGAAGGCAGGCGCGAGGATGAGTAATGCAATCCCCACCTCGATCTCGTTTCTCGTCCCCAGTCCGACTTTATATTTAAATTAAAATAATATTTTAAAAGTATTTCATTTTCTTTTTCTATTACATATAAGGTAATTTTTTTTATATTTTGCCATTTTTACTTTTCTTCTACCCACTTTTTATTTTTTTATATTATTTAATCTTTTATATCAATTAGTTTATTACATTACTCTCTCTTATCTTTCAGCTTTTTCACATTTTCTTAATCTCTCCAATCAATTTGTCTTTTTTTTAATCTTTTCAACCAATTTGATGAACACAAAGATAATTTATTTTTTTAAATATTTTACATAAATTTTAATAGTAACTAATATTATTTTATTTATAATTTATATTTATTAGGTTTTATTATGTCATATTTTTTATCTTATTATTCTTATTTGTCATATATCAAATTTTATCTTAATAAAATAATCATATTTTAAAAAATTAAAAAAAATTAATAATTTAAACTTTTATTACTTTGAACTAATTAAATAATAATTAACATATTAAATATATTTTTTTATAAATTATATATATATATATGTATATATCATATTTTTAAATAACAATTTAAAAATGATTTAATTTATATATATAATCGGATATTTGAATACAGTATAATAATAATAATAAATAATTAATGTTATAAATATTTAAATATTTGAATATAATGTTATAATAATAATATTATTGTTATAAATATTATATATATATATATATATAAATAAAAAATAATTAAATATTTCTTTTATATACTTATTTTATTATAAATATAATAAATTAAAATATATATTTAATTAATAATAATTATAAAATTATAAATATTTATTTATATATAAAAAATACATAATAAAATTAATTTATTATAAATATAATTATATTTTTAAATAAAGATAAAATCCTATAAAAATGAAAATTTAATTTTTAATTCGAATAGAAATTGAGGACGAGATGATATAAAAATAAAAATTTAATTTCTAATTCTATCATAAATTAAGAACGGACAGATCGTTAAAAAAATTGGAGATGGACCAGGGCAACTCATTGCCATGCTACCACACCTTGTCGTAGTCTTAACCACCAATCAGCCGACCACCACGCAACTCTCACTCAAATCTTAAACCCCCCCGACGAACCACTGGTGGCCCTAAATGCGTCGTGCGGACTAACCCCTCATCCTCAACCTTGACTGCGCCAGCCACCAACCCTAACTGCCTCGTCCAACTTTTCTCTCTACGAACCCCTTTCTCCAGTGGCCACCGCGTCTTGGCCCCAGCGGCCTAGTAAATTTGGGGTCGTGGGTTTCTTCCCTCCTCCAACTTGGTCTCTTCTTTTTATTCCTTTTCCTATTTTAATGTTTTTTTATTATTTTTTGACTTGGATTTAATTTGTTCCCACACCACCTGGCTTGAGATTGAATTTTTGCTGAATATTGGATATGTGTATGAACTATGTGTTTGCGTATAGCCGTTGATGAGGACCATGGGTCCCTTTTGATTTGTGTATGTCTGTTAAGGACCTGGGTCCTAGGATTTATGTTAATTTGTGAGTTATGCTACCGAATTTTCATTTAGAATGTGGTCTGTTGTGGGTAGTAAGTAGTTTTTGCGTTTATTTTTCTCTTTAGGTTCAATTATTACAGTCCGATACTGTCTTAGACTGCAGTTTGGAATCATTTTGCAAAATAATTTGAGTCTAAGTTGTAATGTCTTTGCATATTAATGGAAGTCGGCCTCCGCGTTCTGGTTGAGTGGTTGTCGGCTTCATGTTTTGATTTCGGATGTTTTAAGAAGGGATGAATTGATTTTTTATAAAAATGATTTTTTTGAAATTTTTTTTCAAGTTTGACCGATTAAACGATAATATAATAGAGTACTTAAAAAGTAAAGAGATAAGAAAAGAAAATTACATGAATAATTTATATTGTTTCGGATCAAAAGATCCTATGTCCCGTTGTTAATTATTTTAAAAGAGGATTATTCAATCATTAAAATAATAGTTTTCAGATAAACAGATTACACATAAACAAAGATTAGAAAATACATCTCTTGAGTCACACAAGAGATGAACACCTCTTTTGAAGTCACAAGAGATGAAAACAATTTTCCTAGAGACGGCACAACACTCAATCTACTGAGAATTTACTCAATAATTCTTATCGCTTCTAGTTCACACTAGGTTTTCAAAATCCTTTTTTCTTCCCTACTCAAAGTTCTCCCAACAATCACAACTCTTAATTTTCCTGAGTCTGAAAAAGGTTTGTCATCTAGTAAAGAACATGAGAGTTCTCAAAATAGAGTTTTATGATTTTCAATTTTGGGAATTTTCAAAAATTAGGTTAGATTTTGAAATTCAAATTTATAACTGACACAGATAATCGATTATCATAAGTGATAATCGATTATCACATAGCCAGATATAGGAAAACCAGTTTTATACAGGATAATCGATTATCACAGAACCAATTTCGATTATTCCAGTGTGTCTTTCAGAAAACTTGAAGTTTAAACAGGATAATCGATTATTCTCAGTAATAATCGATTATCCTCGATTATTCTAGTGTGTCCTTGATAAAAATGAAGTTTTTGTGAACAGATTAAGTGCCGACTATCATGAACTCTATTTTTACATACTCAAGAAGACAAAACAGAGTTATTACAAACAATTCCAACTGAATATAAGTTTTATAATCTTGAAGTCTTTTGTTCTTGAATCATCATCAAAATATTTAGTCATCATATTCTTGTATTTTCAACAATCTCCCCCTTTTTGATGATGATCAAAATTTTCTTTAAAGCTTCTTTGTAATAACCTATTTTTCTGTCACAACTTAGTAAAAAACAATTAAACATACCAAGATTTAAATATATTCTCCCACTTTTTTATCATAAACAAAAAAAGATTTGAGCAGTAAATATAAACAGAAGCTCCCCCTCAAGAATTCAAATGTATGAAGATTTATTTAAGAAATCAAAATAGTACAATATATATTGAGAGAGAACTAAATTGATTACATAATATTTTCAGAATTCATCATTCTGAGAATCATATTCAAATTCTACATCAAATTTGTATTCAAGAGATGCTACACTTTTATTTTGTGTATGTCCAGCTCGTATCATGTGACATTTATTTTTAAATAATTCAAAATAAAATTTATAAAATACAAAATTTTCAAAACTTAAAAATATCAATTTTCTTTATTTTTTTATTTCCTTATTCCGAGTCACACTCTCCCCACCCTTATCATCTTCCCACGCTTTACTCCATAGCTAAATCCCTGCACTCGATACACTTACCCATCTCTTTAATTGAAAAACATAGAGTTCATTCTATAATTTTATTCATATATCTTTTGGATATAGGTACCATGTTCTTATAGTATTTTACCTTTACAAATCAGGATTAAATAAAGTAAGTTTTGATTATGCACTATTTTGTATAACTATACAAACCTATAATTTAGCTAATCAAATATCTTCATCTCAACACTCCCCCTCAAGTTGGTAAATGGATGTCATACATTCCCAACTTATCCAATAATTTCCTAAAAACCTGACTTGTCACAACTTTGGTAAGAATGTCTGTCAGCTGATCTTCAGATCGAATATTTGGCAATTACAAAATATTTTAATCAAGCTTTTCCTTGATGAAAAATCTATCATCCTCCACATGCTTCATCCGATCATGTTGGACAAGATTGTGAGCAATGTCGTGTGCAACTTTATTATCACAATACAACTACATGAGATGTGTATGTGCATATCCTAAATCTTGGAGAAGTAGTTTGAGTCACAAACCTTCAGAAAGTCCAAGAACCATTCCTCTAAGTTCAGCTTCTGCACTAGATCTAACTAAAACTTTCTGCTTCTTGATTTTCCATGTGACAAGATTAACTGCCCAATCTGCATCAATATAAACTATCACATTCTTGTAGTTGGAGTTCTTCTTGAACATAACTCCTTTTCCAAGAGTGGCTTTTATGTACCTTAAAATTCGTATAACAACATCCATGTGTTTTTCACTTGGATTATGCATGAACTGACTAACCACACTAAGAGCATAGACTAAATCTGGCCTAGTGTGTGAGAGATACATTAATCTCCCTACAAGTCTCTGATATCTTCCCTTCTTTTTTCTTTAGAAACAAGGTATGATCTTGGTTGCTCTGTTGATATCCAAAAGCAAGCATTGACTTGGTGAATCTACCAAACCATGCTCGTGGTGATTGCTTTAGTCCATATAATGACTTCTTCAACTTGCATACCTTCTTGCTATGTGTATTCGGGATCCCACATCCTTCTGGTAGCTCCATATAAACTTCTTCAGACAAGTCCCCATGTAAGAAGACATTTTTTACGTCAAATTGTTGTAAAGACCAATTAAGGTTTACAGTTAGAGATAACAATACTCGAACTGTGCTAATTTTGGCTACGGGAACAAACATTTCAGTGTAATCGATTTCATATGCTTGTGTATACCCCTTTGCTACTAATCTAGTCTTGAATCTCTCAATTGTGCCATCTGTATTAAATTTCACATTAAACACCCATCGACATCCTACTAGTTTCTTTCTAACTGGACAATCTACCATTTCCCATATTTTATTTCTTTGCAAGGGTCTCATTTCCTCATTCATAGCATCATTTCACCTGGAGTCAGCTAAAACTTTATGCACACTGTTAGGAATAGATATAGTAGATAACTGACTTATAAATGCGATATTTGAGTTAGACAAATTCTGGTTACAAATATAATTACTCATAGGATATCTTGTCTTACTAGTGAGGTCAAGATCATAAGTAGGCTTATGAATACCTTTAGTGACACAATCTGACAGAATTCTTTTTTTTTTGTATTAGGTTCTTGAGGAGACGATTGATGTGATATATCAATAGCATCAATAGGCAAACTTTCAATCTTGATATGCTCAAATTCTTTATCATTATGTGGTTGTTGATCATCACATTGTTCTATACTTTCATCATCTCCTAATACAACTTTGTAACTTCCTTTCTTCAATCTGACCTTAATATCAATTTCTTGAGGAACAAAAGTCTGAACTTCATCATAATTCTCCTCCTGAATTTCAGACTCAGGGGAAAAATATATCAAGGTCTCATAAAAAAATACATTTATAGTAATAAACATTTGCTTGATTTGTGGATTGTAGCACCGATATCCTTTTTGGTGATCCGCATAGCCAAGGAACACACCTTTCAATTTTAGGAGATAACTTACTTCTCTGATGCTTATGTAAGTGAACATAAGCAACACAACCAAAAGCTCTATGTGTTAGTTCAGCAATTCTAGGACTTACTACTACATCTGTAAGTGATTGAAGATGTGTTTTATACTCAAGAGACCTGAACGATGTTTGGTTGATAGTGTATACTGCATATGTGAGAGCTTCTCCCCAATATATTGTTGGCATGTGAGCTCCAATCAGTGCAGCTCAAACCACCTCCAATACATGACAATTCTTTCGTTCTGCCACCCCATTCTGTTGTGGAGTATTTGGACAAGATCTGTGATGAACAATTCCTTTGGCTGCTAAAAATTGTTGAAGTTCTGATTACATATATTCTCCTCTGTTGTCACTGCGTAGTACCTTAACTTGTGCTTTGTACTAGGTCTTAATCATTTTGTAAAATTTCTGAAATAGTCCTCCAACTTCACTTATCAAACATAACCAAGTCATTAGAGTACAATTATCAATAAACGTTACAAACCACGTTGAGCCACCTAACGTTGTAACCTTAGATGAACCCCATACATCAGAGTGAATGATCATAAAAGGAAGAGAAATTTTATTTAAAATTAAAGGAAAATGTGTTTTGTGACTCTTTGCAAGCTCACAAACATCACAATACAAAATTGAAGTGTCTACTTGATCAAACACACTTGGAAATAATTTCTTTATGTAACCAAAAGATGCATGTCCTAGATGCTTATGCCATAACCAAATATCTTCGCCTTTTCTCACTTCTTGAGACCCTTTTGTTGCTAGTACTTGACCAAGTCTCTTTGAATATTTTTTGTCAGGTCTAGGTAATACAACCTTCCTCGCCTAATACCACAATCAATCGTCTTCTTCGTTTGAATGTCCTTAAAAACACAAGAGTCAGGCAAAAAAATTACAACATATAAAAGAGTTTTGGTTATTTGCGAGACTGACAATATGTTATATTTAAGAGAAGGAACAACAAGGACAATATCATGGTTGCAATTGTTTGAAATATAGACAGTTCTTTCTCCAATGATAGTGGATTTACTACCATTGGCTGTGTAAATATTTTTTTGTGAGGAAGGTTTAAGATTTTTAATTTGTCTAACATCAAAAGTCACATGATTAGAACACGTAGAGTCAATTATCCATGCATTATTCAGAACGGTAGATGTGCTTATTAAGGCCTTACCATTGGAATCATCACTACCTGCGGTTGTAGCAAGCATCATGCCTTTGTCGTCCTCTCTGTCAATGGTAGTTACAACAAAGTTGGATTTCTTTTTGAATTCTTCTTCGATGCTCGACTGTGATCCCACCACTCGAGGTATCCTATGATTTCATAACATCGTTCCTTGGTATGTCCATCCTTATTACATTGAGTACACTTATAGTTACCTTTTTTAGGACCTTTTGATTGCTTCGCTTGCTTCCTTGTCATCATAGTTGTAGAATAAGAAATCATATCTTCTATTTTCAACGTTGTTCGTCAGCCTGTCTCCCTCCGGATCAATGTATAACATTCTTCTAAATTAGGTGTCACTTCTTTGCGTAAGATTTCTCCACGAACTTGCTCAAAATCATCATCCAGTCTAACAAGGAATATATGCACCATCAATCTTTCAATGAACTTTTAATATGACTTCACATCATCAAGGTCCTTCATGAATACTTTGTCACGATGGTCCAATTCCCTAAAATTTCAACCAACTCCCCATAATATTCAGTTAGGATTTTATTATTTTGTTTTACAGTAAATGCCTTTTGATTTAGGACAAACACCTGTACCTCATCACTTCCATCATAAAACGTCTTTGACAAAATATTCCAAATATCGAGGGCAGTGGGTTCATAAAACGTCTTTGACAAAACGAAGATACCTTTTCATGATTTCTGGCTTCATGGACATTAATAGTCATCTTTTCACTTTTTGGTTTTCAATATACTATTTTTCATATCCTTCATCTTTCTCTGTTGGAGGCTTCACCTTCCCACGGATGTAGGACATTTTTTCCCTCTTTGCAATGTGCATATCCATTAGTTGTGACCATACGTTATAGTTGGATTCATTTAGGATTATGCCTACGTTAAATACACCTTTAGATTAAACTACCATTGGAATTAGTTTTTCTGTCATCTCTCCAGTTAAGATCTCCAAGGATTTAGAAAAAAAAAAGAAAAAAAAATTTAAGCTCTAGTACTAAATTGAAAAACATAGAACTCATTTTAAAATTTTATTCATATATCTTTTGGATACAGATACTATGTTCTTATAGTATTTTACTCCTACAAATCAAGACTAAATAAAGTAAGTTCTGATTATGCACTATTTTATACAATTATACAAAACTATAATTTAGCTAATCAAATATCTTCGTCTCAACACCCTCCACCTCATCAAACCCAGCGATATCATTTCTTCTCAGCTTCCATTCAGCCCACAGTTCTTTAGCTTCACCACTCATCTTCATTTTTCACCTTTCCTTCTCCTTATATTCATTCCTTACACCGGCCAAACCTTCATTAACAACCTCACCCCAAAAATTCATGATCAGCAACACATTTCCACGTCCACCGTAGGTCACAGTGGCTCATGCGATCCTCCACCAGACCCCATGTAAGCCAGAATCACCCCCACTTCCAGCCAAAATCTCCCTCACCCATACCTATTGTCCAGCCACTCTCATTGTGCCCCTGCCCCTTTATCTCGTGACTTGACCCTATTCTCGCCGAATCATCCCTATCGCCACCACCGAGAGCCACTGCCATGTCACCGTAGCCTCACCCAAGCCCCACAATAACCACGTCTCACCTTCGAGCCAGGCCCAAATCACCCCACTGAGAACCACCACTGCCACCTCGCACTTGCCTCCTCACCAAAACCTTCGTCACAAGCTATTGCGACTTGTACTGAAACCCACAAGCCCAAACTAGACCTCACCCCCACCTTTGGCCCCTCAGGCCACCGCACACCACTTGAAGTGCAAACCTTCACCCACCAGCTCAATCGCACCACCCTAGCCTCCTTCAGCCCCCTCAGTCGAAATCTAGCGCCACCCACAGCGAGTTGGTCGCACCCTCACCACACCTTGTCATAACCTTAACCACCACACGACTCTCACTCGAATCCCAAACCTCCGTGGTGAATCATCAGTGGCCCTAGATGCGTCGCACGGACCAACTCCTCATCCTCAACCTGGACCGCGCCAACCACCAGCCTTAACTACCTCGTCCAACCTTACTCTTTACAAACTCCTTTCTCTAGTGGCCACCGCGCCTTGGCCCCTGCGACCAAGTGGATTTAGGGTCACAAGTTCTTCCCTCCTCCAGCTCTATCTCTTTAATGTTTTTTTATTATGTCCTGACTTGGATTTAATTTGTTCCCACAATGCCTGGCTTGGGATTTAATATTTGCTGAATATTGGATATGTATATGAACTGTGTTTGCATGTAGCTGTTGATAAGGATCGTGGGTCCCTTTTGGTTTGTGTATAGGGTTTATGTTAAGTTGTGTTGTTATGCTATTGAATTTTCATTTAAAATGTGGTCTGTTGTGGTAGTAGTTTGTGTGTATATTTTGTTAGCATTATTATTAGGTAGTGGTTAGTGGTTAGTAGGTGGTGGTTGGTGGTTGTTTTTTTAAATGCTGTAATTATATATATATATATATATATATATATATATATATATATGAGATCATAGAGTGGAGTGATGCATCCTACTGAATTATAAATCTTCTTTTAACTCTCTTTACTCTCTTAACTTGGTATCAGAGTAGGTTGGTCCTACTCACCCTTTCCGGTCACCGTCTGACCACTTTTCCAGTCACTTTCTGGTAACTTTTTGGCAACTGTTCGGCCCCCCATTCGATCACTTTTTTGCTGTCGTCTGATGAATTTTCGATCACCTTCTAGTGACCTTTCGACCTCCGTTCCACTATAGCTGTCCACTACTGCCATTCATCAGTTTTCTTGCAAAGTAAAAATTGCACAGTTTTCTTATAGGTTCCATTGTCTCCATTTTACATCTACATTATTTAAAACATGTCGTCAGGGTCCACAACCTCCTTTTCTGAAACTCCCACTATAACAACTGAGAAATTAAATGGAAAAAAATTATATGCCTTGGTCCTCTTTAGTTGAACTTTAGTTCCTTGAATAAGGGTTTCACGATCATCTAGAAGAAGACGAAAGTAAGATATCAGAATATCAGGCTCAACAATGGAAAAAACTTAATTATCAACAACCCCAAATTCATCAACAACTTTCATTTCACAATCTGTGGAAAGTCAAAATCCATGGATTATTGACTCAGGTGCTTTTGATCACATGTTTGGTAATACCTTTTTGTTCTCTTCTCTCTCATTTCCTAAAACTCCTCATCTCATAACCTTAACCAACAGATCTAAAGTAACCTCTAAAGGAACTGGTCAAGTCTCCATTTCTCCGTCTTTAAACTTAAAATCTGTTCTTTTTATTCCTTCATGTCCCTTCAGCCTCATTTCCCTACTCAATTAACCAAATTATTGAATTGTTCAGTAAACTTTAATGCCAAATCTTTTGTTATACAGGAACGTGGTACGGGTCGACAGATTGGCGAAGGACATGAATCTAGAGACTTATACTACCTTGGAACTAAATCATCGGTATCCTGTGTTCTATCCTTATCTCCAAAACTATTACACGAACATTTAGGGCACCCTCACTTGTCAAGATTAAAAAAAAAATGGTTCATAAACTTCAGACTCTTTAAGATTTTGAATGTGAATCATGTCAACTAGGGAAACATACTAAGTCCTCTTTTCCTAAACGTTCTGAATCTAGATGTGACTCTGTCTTTTCTCTTATTCATTCTTATATTTGGGGTCCTAGTCGTGTCTCATTCTTTGGCTATAAATATTTTGTTACCTTTATTGATGAATTTTCTAGGTGTACTTGGATTTATCTAATGAAAGACTGTTCTGAATTATTACCTATCTTTAAGTCTTTCCTTAATGAAATCAAAAATCAATTTGGAAAAGTAATCAAAGTTTTATGAAGTGATATTGCTAAAGAATACTTTTCTATTGATTTCTCTAGTCTCTTAAGTTCCCAAGGCATTTTACACCTGTCTACTTGTCCTCACACACCACAAAAAAATGGTATAGCAGAACGAAAAAATAAACATTTGGTTGAAACTGTTCGTACCTTATTACTTTGTGTAAATATGTCTGTTCATCGTTGGGGAGATGCTATTCTTACTACATATTTTCTCATTAACAGAATGCCATCTTCTTCTCTTGACAATAAAGTTCCACAGTCTATTCTATTGCCAAAGGAGCTACTATTTCATGTTTCTCCTCGTGTATCTGGTTGCGTATGTTTTGTTTAGGATATGTCTCCAGGTTTAGATAAACTATCAGTTAGAGCCATCAAATGTGTCTTCTTGGGATATTCTCATCTTAAAAAGGGATATCAATGTTATTCTCCTGAAACCAAGAGGTACATGTCTGCTAATGTCACTTTTTTTGAATCAACTCCCTTCTTCTCTTCTTCTATGCATTATATTAGTTCGGTCCAAAATGTCCTACCTATACCTTTAGTGGAGCCATTTGTACCTCCTCCTGACACCCAAAATTCCACACAAAATATACCAGAATCCTCATTACTGCCTCTTATTACTTATCAATACAGGAGCCAAATGGTCAGTCTCATGCCCCAAGATGAGTCTTCCTCAGCAGATCCTTCTCAATCATCCCCTAATACCACGATTCCTGATAATGATGACTCAAGTTGGCCCGTTTTCATTCGCAAAGGTACTTGCTCTACTCGTAATCCACATCCCATTTACAATTTTCTTAGCTACCACAGATTATCTCCTTCCTATTAAAAAAAATGTGAAAGAGACACTTGATCATCCTGGATGGCGACAAGCCATGATTGATGAAATGTAGGCTCCTGAGCACAATGGTACATGGAACTTAGTTCCTCTTCCACCTGGGAAGAAGACTGTTGGTTGTCGTTGGGTCTATGTCATTAAAGTTGGACCAAAAGGTGAAGTTGATCGACTCAAAGCTAGATTAGTAGCAAAAGGCTACACTCAGATCTATGGCCTTGACTACAGTGATACTTTTTCTCCTATGGCCAAAATGACTACTGTTCAACTTTTTTTTGCTATGATAGTTATTCGTCATTGGCCTCTTCATCAGTTAGATATCAAGAATGCTTTCTTGCATGAAGATTTTGAGGAGAAAATTTACATGGAGCAACCTCCTAGTTTTGTTGCTCAGGGGGAGTCTAATTTGGTTTGTAAGATACATTGTTCTCTCTATGATCTCAAACAATCTCCACGTTCTTGGTTTGGAAAGTTTAGTCACATTGTTCAAAGTTTTGGACTAAAACGAAGTGAAGCAGATCATTCTATTTTTAATTATACTGCTTCAGGAAAATGTGTTTATTTAATTGTATATGTGAATGATATAGTCATTACAGGGGATGATGTTGATAAAATTTCTCTGCTAAAGAAACATTTATGCAATCACTTCCAAACTAAGGATCTTGATTGTCTCAAATACTTTGTAGGGATTGAAGTGACTCAATCAAAAGAAGACATTGTAGTCTCCCAAAGAAAGTATGCTTTAGATATCCTGAAAGAAACAAGCATTATTGATTGTAGACCAGTAGACAGCCCTATGGATCCAAATCAGAAATTAATGACGGATCAAGGTGAACCGCTCTTTGATCTTGAGAGATATAGAAGACTTGTTGGGAAACTCATTTATCTCACTATTACTAGACCTGACCTATCTTTTGCCGTTGGAGTTGTCAATCAGTTTATGCAAAATCCGCATACTGATCATTGGAATGTTGTCGTTCACATCCTAAAATATCTCAAAAAGGCTCTAGGACAAGGTTTGTTGTACGAAGATAAAGGGGGTACCCAAATATCTGGGTATTGTGATGTTGATTGGGCTGGATCCCCTATCGATAGATGCTCCACTACAGGATATTGTGTTCTCATTAGAGACAACATTATTTCTTGGAAAAGAAAGAAACAAAATGTAATGGCCTAGTCTAGTGCTGAAGCTAAATATAGAGCAATGACGTCTCTCACTTATGACCTAGTGTGGGTAAAACAATTCTTTCAAGAACTAAAATTTTGTGAGATCCAACAGATGAAGATGTATTATGACAATCAAGTAGCTCTCCACATTGCCTTTAATCTGGTATTCCATGAAAGGACCAAACATATAGAACTTGATTGCCATTTTATTCGTGAAAAATTGTTGTTTAAAGAAATTTGCACTAAATTTGTCGGATCCAATGATCAACTTGCATATGTGTTGACAAAGTCTTTGAGAGGATCTCGAATTGAATTTATTTATTCCAAACTTGACACATACAATTTGTATGTTTCAGCTCGAGGGGGAGTGTTAGAATTATTATTAGGTAGTGGTTAGTGGTTTGTGGTTGGTAGTTGGTGGTTAGTGATTGTTTTTTTAAATGATGTAATCCTATATATATATATATATATATATATATATATATATATGAGATCATAGAGTAGAGTGATACATCCCATTGAATTATAAATCTTCTTTTAACTCTCTTTACTCTCTTAATTGTCTCTCTAAGTTCAATTGTTATAGTCTCGGTAATGTCTTAGATTGCAGTTTGGAATCATTTTGCAAAATAATTTGAGTCTATGTGGGATTGTCTTTGTGTTTTAATGATTGTTGGCCCATTTGCTTCTATTGTTGTCTGCAACAATAAATCTTATGGTTCATTTTAATTTTAATTTTTTCTCTTGCCAAAATTTTCTTTTCTTTTTCTTTATTTAAAAAAATGTGTAAAAAATTGAAAATTGATGAATTATTTTCTTTTTCATTTATTTTGGTGTGTGTTCAATTGCTCGCGTTATGTGACACCTATTTTCAAATAATTCAAAATAAAAAAAGTTCAAAAATTAAAAATATCAATTTTATTTATTTTTATTTTTATTTCTTTATTTTTTTTATTTCCTTATTCTCGGTCACACTCTCTTCACCCTTATCATCTTTCCATGCATCACCCCCTATTCCTGCAAATAAGGAGCTAAAGAGGATGTTATTTGATGAGGACCATAAGAATAAACTTAGTCTATATCTAGGTATGACTAAAATGTATTAGGACTTGAAGTTAGGGATGACAATTAAACCCATACCCGTGGGGATCGACTGTCCCCGCCCCGAGTTTTATGGGGAAAACTCGAGTTGACCGGGGGCGGGGGTGGGTTCGGGTTTTCCCCGCTTTAAAAAGTCGGGGGCGGGGGCGGGGATGGGTAATGCAATCCCGACCCCGACCCCGTCCCCGCCGACTTTATATTTAAATTTTAAAATATTAATATTTTAAAAGTATTTCCTTTTCTTTTTCTATTACATATGTTAAGGTTCCAACATAAAACCAATTGGCAATATGTGGAGTAGCCTAACA